TGTGTGTCTTGTTTGGTTGTTGCCTGTTTCCCCCACTAGACGGTAAGCCTCCTGAGAACTGGGGTTTGGTTTTGTAACTGCTGTATCTCCAATGTTTAGAAAAGTGCCTGGCTCGTGTTAGGTACCCAATAAATGTTTGTTGAAGGAATGGATTCGTTCCTGGGGCATCCTGGTAGAAGGAAAGTGAAACACAGAGGAGCCCCCAAACCAGTCTTATTCCCAGAGCCCTGGTCAAAGCAGCCATGCTACAGAAAAGTCATTTTATGGCTCTGGTGCTGCCAGTGACTGATAGCCTCTGCCTTGCGGCCCCTCGAGGGCCAGACAAGAGGCAGGGCAGAGGTGGTGGGGTATGCAGAGGAGGACGAGCTTCTTACGAATTGGGATTGTCGGGGAAGCCTTGTTGGAGCAGATAGTTATTGAGCCAGGACTTGGGCAACAAAAAGGAAGAAACCTTTTGTGTCAGGTATGCAGAATGGTTGAGGGAAATGTGGAACTTGGAACTGTACTGTGAATGGCCTTGAATGTCAGCTCTAGGAAGTTGTCATCCAGATGTTACAGCTCTTAACTTATCCGGCATGGTCTCAGATCCTTTCGAAGACAGCAGGTTTCATTCCTGCAAGCCTGTTGCTTCGGAGATCCGGTGTTCTGATCTTACACGTGGAACAGGAGTCTTGCTCTGCCTCAGTTCAGGTGAATATTGGCTATTTCCCCTTTTATTCAAATACTGCCCTTCTCAAAAACAAGTCACTTGTACATACTTCTTGCAGCTAATGGTTATTTGCTTAAAAGAAGAAAGAAGGAAACACTGTTGTATTTTCCTCACCTTAGACATTTTTAAGAGTAATTTTGGCTTTTTACCAGTCTAGATTTATTCTGGATTACAGTGTTCACACTTGCATCAGGCTGTGTGTTTAGACAGGAAGGACAGTATCGGTGATTTCTCCTGCTTCCAGATCTAGAAGCATTGAAGGGTTAAGTGAGACCCTCCTACTCTCCTGGCATTTGTATTTGATTGTTGTACGGGAGGTGTGATTTTTGAGGTATTATAGGTACATTTTAAATTGTAGGCTTAAACACAAGAATTTAGAACTGTGGTTCTCCACTCTGGCTGCATCTTAGAACTCACTTGGTGGGCAGGGAGGCTTTAAAAAAAAAAAAAAACCACCAGCAATTCCTCTGTAATCCATCAGGAGTATTCCCTGGGTAATGGTTTTGTTGATGTTTGTTTTTTGGATTTTATTTTGTTTTTGGAAACAACCTTGAACTTACAGAAAAGTTGCGAGTATGATTTCTGGAAAAAAAACGCAATACTTTTTCCCTTGAATCATTTAACAATAAATTGCTGACCCAGTGTCTCATCCCTGCATCCCTTCCACAATACTTCAATGTATTTCTAAAAAACAAAAACATTCTCCTGTATATCCACAGTACAGCGTCAAAAAAAAAAAATCAACGCTGATACATTAGTACCATTTAATCTTCAGCCCCTACTCAAGGTTTAACATTTGCCCAAGTATTGGTCTTTATAGCAAAAGGATCGCACGCAGCACTTGGTGGTTGTATCTCTTTAGTCTCCTTCCATTTTGGACAGTTGCTCAGTCTTTCCTTGGTGCTGATGACCTTGGAACTTTTGAAGATTGCCAATCAGTTTTTTCTAAAGTGTCTCTCCATTTGGGGCTGTCTGATGTTTCCTTGTGATGATATTCAGACTGTGTATATTTGAGAGAAATATCATAGAAGTGATGCTGGTTCTCAGAGCATGCTATTAGGTAGCTCATGATTTTAGTTTGTACCACTGTTGATGTTCACCTGGACTACTTGATTAAGGTGGTATCTGCCAGGCTTCTCCTCCATATAATTACTGTTTTTTCCTTTATAATTAATAAGTATTTTATGGTGTGATGCTTTAAAACTATGAGAATATTACATTTCTTGTCATTTTTAATGTACTCATTTACTTGTTTCTACCTGTATGGACTCAAGTTTTCCTATTTTATGCAATAGCTTATAGTCTGTTACTGTAAGTATTTATTTTTATGCTTATACTGTCCCAGATTTAGTTTGTAGGAGCCCCTTCAAACTAGTTTCTGTGACCAGTTGACATGTCCCATCATTTGTTGAAGGTTTCCTTGCTTCTTGGCAAACAAGCATTCAAGACTCCTTTTCTACTTCCCATGTTCTAGCCCCCAAATAGTTTTTTTCCCAAAAAACTCTAGTTCTCTTAGTGAAGAATGGTATTTAGAAGCCATAATCTGGGTTCGAGGTGTGTTCATAGCTACAGTATTTAGATGTTGCTTGTTCCCAAGCCGTCTCATTGATAGAGCTAGGGAATAAGTGTGTGTGTATTTGAATACATGAAGGAATATACACATATAGGCATGCAACGTTACATCTACTTTTTTTGTTATGTCTATCCCTATGTATTACAATTAATGAGCTCATGTCAATGACTACTTCTGATCCAACTCCACAGGGTTCATTTCAGTTTTCTCCTTTTCCATTTTGATAACTCCTCTTCATTCTTAATATATTTACTTACTGATCAACCCCCTGTACATAACTGAGCTCCCATCAGCACCACCATAGATGCCTTCCCTGTGTGGATGCCCTCATCACCCCTACTGGGCTCTGGTGCAGCACAGAGATAGTTTAAAGCTCCCCAAATGGTGCTAATGTGCAGCCAAGATAGAGCACAATTGAATTAGGAGAAAGGTGAACCCCAAACTTTTTGATTCATTTTTAAGTAAATGGTAGGTTTTTAAGTCAGGTTTGGTTTGAGAAAATACATTCTTCCTAAGAGTGAAATTTAAAGAGAAGACTCAATTCTACCAACATACACAGTAAAAGATCAGGGTGAAAGCACAGCCTGTCTCCTGGAAAGCTTTGAAAAATATTTGTTTTGGAAATAAATCTGCTTGTAGTGAACATAAATTTCAATCCCTTTCCCTGAATTACCTGTTTATAGGAAAAAAATATTTGAAAAGGTTAGTTGTTTTTTAAGAACGTGTCTCATTAAAGACTTACTGCTTTTTTTTTTACATTGCATTTTAAAAATAAACTTTTAGTTTTTCAACTTTACTTTTTAGAGCATCGGGTATTTAAACAGGAGATATTCAGGCTGTGGTTGCTTTTTTTCTATAGTCAGTTTTTCTTTAAAATACGGAAACCAAGTAACAGTAATTGGGTCATGAGGAACTTTGTCTTCTTCCATTTGCAGCCAGAGGAAGCAAGAGGCTGTGGGAGCCAAATATAACAGGATCTGTGGCCAGCCTACCTTAGATGGTCAACATCTATCTTGCCAACTTTCGTAAATCCATTTTCTTAAAGTAATGCCCGGTTGCAAGTGGATTTTCACCAAGAACTTCACTCTTGGGCCGATGTACATATTATCTGACTCCAAAGAAATCCAGCCTTAAACCCAAGGAAGTTACAATAAAATCTCCTCCTTGATTGTATTTTAAAAATTTTAATGGCTTGAAGAGTGTGTGTGAATTGTACACTTTAGGCTTTTGTATATTTATGCCCAGAGGCATATATACACATCTCCTTCTGTAAGGAGAGAGAAAGGGCAATATTTGTGAATGTAGACAGGAGCCACTGAAAACTTAATTTGCAGGTAAAACACTTCTGTTATTATTTAGTTCCTGTTTTCTATAAGTAAAGCATTGTTTACCTGTCCATGAGAGTGTGCCTCAGTGTTGGTCCTCAGTTCCTTTTATGTAGGCTGGATGAGTTCCACTCCCCAAACTTGAGTCCTTCGCAAACCATCTTTGTGATTTTTGCCATGTCTGCAAACATTTAGCATTTTTCTTTTGATTTGTCTGACTTAACTTAGCCTTTATCTAGGTGGTGTCTGTGAAACCATGGATTTGATGTGTTGAATCTCCTAAAATCACTAGTATGCAGGCAGTATCTGTTCCGTAGTTGGGGAACTGGGAGCTAGGACTCTGACTCTTCTTCAAGCTCTGAAATTCAGTAAGTGTGATGTCTGGGGTGTCCTGCCTTGAGCTTTGAAATTACACCAGCTGTTAGTTGTTTATGCATTTTTTCCAGTTGATACATAGAAGTAGAAGTTGGCAGCAGTCTATATATGTTACACTAGGGGATGGGGGTTATAGCTTAGTGGTAGAGCTCACTGGTTCAATCCCCAGTACATCCATTAAAAAATACACATACGTTATATTAGAATATTAGACTATACATAATAGTATATTTGTATAATATATTAGAATAAATATTACATTTTACAGTTATTTTTCAAATATGAGGTATAAATTATATTATCTTAATTTCTTAAGATTCAACATATTTCTTCAACTAGAATGTTTATTTTTGTGTAATATTTTTATTTTAATTGAAAGGAGCAAAACCTGATCATCTTAATTGATGATCAGGTGTGCAGGAGGATGCAGCTGTGAACTCACACAATAGGGAGGGAATACATGGATTTATGGACACTTGGTGTGGCCTTAAAAACACAAGTAGAAAACATGTAAAATATACATTATTAATAATGTAGAAGAAAAATACGGAATTTAGAACATAGGGTTCTATGTTCACCTCTCTGAAGATGTCATGGGAAAACACCTAGATTATGATAAACACCTGTGTACTATAACTGAGCATTATTTGTGAGAAATATTGTCGGAAGCCAACTGGACGTTGGTTGTCATGTATTCAAATTAGGTTCTTTGCTGAGTGGAAATCCATTTAATGTGTGTGTGTTTGTTTGTTTAGGAAGATATTACAAAAGCCCACTTTAATGGGCTTTTAAAAACCAAACTTAATGTCATGTTTTGCAAAAGAGGTGACAAACCAAAATAAGTGGATAACTAAATTTGGTGAGTGTTATTCATCCTCCTAGTTTAAGCAGAATACTGTGCTCAGTCAGAGATGAAATATTTGTCACTTTGCACACCATCTATAAGCATTTAATTTGCTATACAAATAGATTGTGAATATAAGATGTTTAACCTTGTGATGTGACGTTACTTTTACAGAGAGAAGGAGCAAGAAAGGGAAGAACAGTTAATGGAAGACAAGAAAAGGAAGAAAGAGGATAAAAAGAAAAAAGAAGCCACTCAGAAGGTGGGTTTAATCAATTAAGTCTGTATTTACATCTGCCGAGCATCTAGAATCAGTAACTGCCTTGGCTTAGACACCTGACATCTTAATAATGTTACTTGGAACTTTAGTTTACTTGAAAGTTTTAATATTTTAGAGTGGGAGAACGTTAAAGACCTACATTTGTTACCATAAAGTAGACATTAAATAACGTTATGGCTGATTTTATGAAAACAACAGTAAATTATATTGAGAAAGGTAAGAGAGTTACCAACATTTAAACTCTTCTCATATTTCCTTATTTGTAGCATAATTAATCTCCATTTTCTAAGCAAGCTTATGGGATAACTTTTTAAAGCTTGCCAGAGTTTGCCCTGATGTTGTCCTTTTGGTCTACCTACAATACTGTCATTTAGTGTGTCTTTTGATAATTCCATAAAGAAATCTTCCTTGAAGAGGGTCAGGTAGGCCTGCCTTGGTGCTTTGGGGGAGATAGTATTGCATGGCTTTGAGGAATTTGCTTGGGAAAAAAGAGATGCTAAAAGAAAAAAAGACATAGGGCTGACAGCTGTCAACTGTCAAGTCTTCATTGGAGTGTTTGTCTGACAGGACTGTTGGGAATAGAGAGTGGTTGGACCTCCCTGCCCTGCCCCCCTCTCCTGAAGCGTGCACCCCTCTGCCCTGGCCATTGTCTGAGCTTGCTTCCCCACCTCACCATCCTTTTAGCATCGCCTGACTTGGGCTCGGCTCTGGCTTGGCAGGCTTACTTTGATGCCTTTGCAAAGTGCCTGGAAGAATCACTTTGCTTCCAGTTCTTCTTACCACTACCTGAAGCACTTGGGAAGCAGGGTCTCACCATGAGGCAGGTGAGGGTCCCCGCTACGGTACCAGGTTATTGAAGCCAAGTTTTGGGAAGTGGAAACTGTTACACAGTTCAGAGGGAACTCTAGATTTAGACCAGACTCGAGACATTCGAACACAAGCCAATGCAAAGGATAAGGGACACACAAGTTTCCCCAGCATCACTGGATATAGCAGTTCGCGTAATTCAGTTTTCTGAATTACTGAAATAGATCATTTGGAGCAGAAGACCAAATAGACATTTCTTCCAAAAAAAAAACATACAGATGGCCAATAGGCTCATGAAAAGATGATGAACATCATTAATTATTAGAGAAATGCAAATCAGAACTACAGTGAGGTGTCACCTCACATCAGTCAAAATGGCCATCATTAAAAGTCTGCAAATAATGAATGCTAGAGAGAATGTGGAGAAAAGAGAACCCTCCTACACTGTTGGTGGGAATGTAGTTTGGTGCAACCACTAGAAACCGTAGGGAGATTCCTTAAAAAACTGAAAATTGAGTTACCATACAATCCAGCAATCCCACTCCTGGACATGCATCCAGGGAAAACTAATTCAACAAGATGCATGCACCCCAGTATTCATAGCACCACTATATGAAATAGCCAAGACACGGAAGCATCCCAAGTGTCTATCGACAGATGACTGGATAAAGAAGATGTGGTGTATATACACAGTTGAATACTACTTTATTTACTATCCATAAAAAAGAATGAAATAATGCCATTTGCAGCAACATGGGTGGACCTTGAAGTTATCACACTAAGTGAAGTAAGTCAGGTAGACAAATATCGTGTAATATCACTTATATGTAGAATCTAAAAAAAAGTGATACAAATGAGTTTATTTACAAAACAGAAACCGACTCACAGACATAGAAAACAAACTTCTGGTTACCAAAGGGGAAAGGGGCTGGGGAGGGATAAGTTAGGAGTTTGAGGTTAGAAGATGCAAACTACTATATATAAAATAGATAAGCAACATAGTCCTACTGTATAGCACAGGGAACTATATTCAGTGTCTTATAATAAACTATAATAGAAAAGAATATGAAAAAGAATATATATATGTATTTTGCTATACACCAGAAACCAGCACAACATTGTAAATCAACTGTACTTCTATTAAAAAAAAAAAAAGAAATAGATCATTCAGAAGTGCCAGCATAAAAAACAATAGTGAAAATATTTTCTGAATTGGATTGCATATGACCCTGCCACGTCAAACATGTGAAATGTAATTTATCTTTTCTTCAAGGCTTAATTGAAAGTCTTAATTAAAAATTACTGTTTGGTGTTATAATAGACTACTGCGCTCCTTAAAGTTTTGTCTGCTTTTAATTCTGTTTCTCTTTCTATTAATAGTGGTGTGCTCACCGTCACATCTTCATGCTGTCAGGGTACCTGCTTCTAATGTGTTGCTTCTAATCTGAGCTTGTTGGAATTCTCTAATGACAGTAAAGAGTTGGAATAAAAATGTCAGATAATGACCCAGAGGCTTTTTTTTATACTTGCCTTTGTGTACACAGCCACATTCCACGTCACTGAGGTTATTATATGCAGGTCCACCAGCTGTAGGGTGTCAGGGTGTTGCCCCTGTACCTGCACACACTGACCTTCTACAGGAGTGATGGGAGGGTGACCCTCAGTGAAGGCTTTCCTTTCCTTTAGGGCATTCACATTCCATCTACTAAATCGGTACACAAATTGGGTTTTGCAGTCTATGGGAATACATGGTTGATGAGCTGGACACTGGGGAGCTTAAGCAAAGACTAGTAATAAGAAGATGCTAAATGGGGTGATTATTTTAGGCAACATACAGTCCATCTTCATTCTCCACATAGATGTTCTTTAACCTGGAATGTCAGTACTAGAAGTGATTAATAAAATGTGCATTTGTAAAGTTTTGCTGTGGATCCCACTAATAGCAAAATTATTTAAAATAAAAGGTGGTGTTTATTCAAGAGTAAATTGGCATTATTTATGCAGAGAATTTCATTCATACAGCTGGACAGTCTCCCTTGTACTTGCATCTGCGTTAGGAACTGGTTAAGGAGTTACGGCAAAGAGGAAAATCACCGTAAATGAAATTTCAAATGGTTAATAATAAACAATAAAAATTCAATCATTTTTGTTCAAAAATGTTCTAAATTAGCTGATACAGGATCTAGGCTGACACATGGCCTTTGATATTTTTTTTTATCATAGTGAACCATTGTGTGATTTCAGAATTAGATTCTGATTTAGCAGTTTTAAGAAGAGAGCACAAAGCTCACCATGTGACTGTCTTAGTGGTTTCCAACCTCACTGTAGAGACAACCCCTTAACCAGGAGGCAGAAAATGTGCTATGATGCAAAGAACTGTCGAGAATGTGCCAGAGGTTCTGTTATGGGGTCATTCATTCAGTCAGCAAACATGTGTAGTGCCTCTTCTTAGTGCTTCCACATCTTTCTCACAACCTATCCCGTTGCTTTATAATCATCTCTTCGTGTTCGTCTTCCCCATTGGACTGGCTCTGAGTTTCTCAAGGTTTTATTCATATTTGTGTTTCCAGTAACTTGGACAGTGCCTGGTGCCAAAGCGTTACTCAGAAAACGTTTGTTTAATAAGTGAATGGTCAGGAGTGAGTGCTGACAATGTAATTTTCTTTCTTAAAGATTTGACTTTTATTTAAAGCTACTTTAAATTATTCCTGCATAGAAATTAAGCATAAGCTTCTTTTCCATTGTGCTTGGTGATTATGGCCATTTTCTCTTCCTCAAGCCATCACTGAGTAAACTGTGTTGGATTTCCACTCATGAGAGAGGTGTCAAAGAAGGATTTCATTGACATTCATTAGGCTGATGCTGCTATAGGATCATTGTTAGTGTTGGCAGAGCACATGCTCTTTACCGTCGGGGGCAGCTCCCTTACCAGAACCGACATTCTAAGACACGTTTGACTTTAGTTGAATTTGTTGCTTACAGCTGGGGAAGGCACTGACTTCCTGTATAACTGATCTTCCAAGTGGCATTCTAAGAAATATTTACAGTGGTAGAAACCTTAAATTGTCTTAAGGAATTGGTATGCAGACACAAATCAACTCATTCTTGGATAAGTGGGCTTATAGAAAAATTATACAGTAGAATTGAGCTTTGTAACAGTTAGTACTGGGGAACACATTCATTTTAAGAGGCTGCCTACCACAAATTCAGTACAGCAGAATTAGCTTGTCTTTGAATGCAAGAATGTAAGAGACACTATAGGAGGTCATACAAGTAGATGGTTGAACTCAGTGGTGTGCTGGAATCCATTGTGCTGTGGGCTGGCTAGCCACAGGACCTGCCTTCCAAAGATGAGTGTGTTTTCATGAACACCCATAGCAGTAACTCAGTATGATTACCAGTCACAAATAATCAAACCCCTCTTTTCTATATGAATTCTTTTTATTACAAGAATTGGAGAACCAATATAAAAATGTTTTTTTGGAAGCTTAACTAATAGTTGGGCAAAGGGGGTCAAAATAACCCATGATCTCAATAATGTGATATAACCCCTGTTGGAATTCTGGTGCATTGCCTTTGGAATGTTTTTCTTGTTCATGACCTTTTGTGGTTATGTTTTAATGTTACAGGGCATGTATAATTAGGCGCCCTCGTCTATTTTCCTCTCTTAAGAGCAGAAGCAGTTTTCCATGTGGCTCCTAATCATCATTTCCACTCTCTCCCCAAACCCGTTATTATATTCAGCATGTCCAATCTTTTAGGTTAATCACTTCCAGAGATGTATTAGTTACTGTATAAAGAAATACCTTCAACAAAGCAATCTTTATTTGTTCAAAATTTACATATTTCAGTCTTACTGCTGTATTTCATGCTATTTTACATAAACTTTGATAGTGATAGCAAACAGTTCTCAAGCATTAGTATGAGATATCTGATTTAATCCTTATAATAATCCTTTGCAGGGAGATACTGTTATTATCTCCATTCAACAGATAAATAGAAAACTGAGATCGCATATCCAGGAAGTGGCATGGCTTGGTTTTGAATCCTTTTCTCCTACTGTGACCCCTGATGCCTCTGGGCTTGGACCTTTAAACTCTTGCTTTCTAGATTTGCAGTCAAGTGTTTGAGTCCATACCCATTGGAGATTCTGTTTCTCTCTATGGTTAATTTTGCATCTGGGCCACATCCATTTGCTTTTCTCGTTCTAGCAGTCAAAATGGGAAATGGGGGGTGGGAGGACTCAGTGGTAGAGTGCATGACTAGCATGCGTGAGTTCCTGGGTTCAATCCCCAGTACCTCTACTAATAAACAAACAAACAAACAAACCTAATTATCCTCCCCCAAATGTTTAAAAAAAACCCACTCTCTTAAAAAAGGGAAACAGCATTCCCAGTATAAGGACTTTATCATTTAATGAAGGTGGAATGCTTCTTGTCATAATTTTTAGAATTCTTCATAATGATGTTCATGTAACTTATAGCTGGACATATGCCCATTGTCTTTAGAAGGATGTCTGAACGGACTTTTTCTGAATTTTAACTATACCTTTGTATCTGACTGCTTGGATTATGCTTATCAGAATTAAAGTAGTCTTACAATAACAGTACTGACTTAGAAAGCAAGTCTCATTTACTTATGCCTGTTAATTTATTTTACAGGTCACGGAACAAAAAACCAAAGGTAAGACTTTTTTTCCTTTTGAGATTTATACTCTTGCGTTTAGATTTTACACTCTTGCTGTCTCAGCCTCCAGTCCACTTGATAGGTGGGAGTGGGTGTAGAGTAATTAGAGTTGTTTATTTGCAACCACTGAAGAGCAGTAACGACAAATTAAAAGTACTTATACTAGTGTTTCTAGTTGGCCTTACTTTTTTTTTAAGAGGAAAAGAGATTAGACAGAGTAATATCTTGTTTTGAGAGTAAAGAGGTCATGATTTTGAACTGAATCTTTTCAGGATTTTTCTTAGAACAATAACAAAAACAGAACACTAGTTCCTATTTTACAGATGGGAACTGCAGAGGATTGTTGACCACCTTGACCTGTAACAGGCATTGAGTCTGAAAATGAGTGTTACATTTAGGACAGTCACCCCATCTTCTGAGCTCTAGAGCCTGGAATATGCTTTTCAAAAAGATAATGCACTTTAACTCTTACAAAGTAGTGCTGTGTTGTAAACAGAAGCAGGTGTCCCAGAGGTCATTCCCAACCGCTAGTGGTCTGTGTGCTTTCAGTTCTTTCTCTTTTGTTAATTTTGATTATGCAGTCTTGTCTGGTGATGATCACACTTTGGTCAGTTCCCCTTTAGGATAGGAGACTTACTTCCTTGGGTTTCTAGCTCCTTTTCCTGCCCACTTAAATATGTTGTCCTCAGCTAGCATAGGCACTAGAATCATATGCATAGACTTGTCAAAACACACAAGCCCAGTTCTCCTCCCAAACCTTTGCGGTCCCAGGCCACAGCCCTGGCAGATTTATTTAGGCAAGCTCTGCAGGTGACCACAGTGTATGGCCCAGGTGGAGAACCACCACCCCAGATGAAGGGAGTCCAGTGTGACTGCAATAAGTTGGGGGAAGATGAGGGTCATGGAGAGACCAGAGAGACCAAAGTTTGATGAGAGGTTCTCAAAGAACTGGTTTCTTCATTGTTTTGTTGGACCACCAGGTCAAAGCATGTCACATGGTGGTGGAGGACTAATAAAGACAGTACTAGTTTCTTAGGAAACTTAGTTATGGAAAACAAATTCTCAGATGAGTAGACATTAGTATATTTCTAACCAAAAGGCATTTCAAGGGAGAATATAGTCTGGGACTTTGTAGTGATTTATAAAATAAACTGAGAGAAATTATTGTTAGTTATAATTATTTTAATTAGTTAGAATAATGTCCTCCCCTTGCACTGTCAGCCAGTTCTTAACCCAGAAGTAGACATTATTTTGGAAGTACATTTGTAAATTATTTGTTTGAAATATAAATTATACTTTATTGATAGTGGTATAGTGTCCATATTTTCTAAACCAACATACTGTCTAGGAAAGGATTTTGGCACATAAGTATATTTATAGGACTTTCTGATTATTTATGAGGACAACAGATGAGAAAATTGGCATTTTCCTGAAAAATCCAGACTCTGTGGTTGCTGGAACATGGTGATTGGGTTCCTAGGCCTGGCCACAATTCTTAGTGCTCATGAAGCCAAATGCCAGTTGAGCTATGGAAACAAACTGCTCTGTATGTTAAGTGATGTTTCTATTGGAAAACTGAAAACCTGTTAGGTTTTTCTTTCTTTCTTTTTTTATTTGTACAAGGTCTGTTCTCAGAATCACATTCCTCTTTCCTCTGCCAAAGTCTAAAAAATTAAACTATTTTTTACTTACTATCAAAGTTTCCCTCCATTTAGGGTCCTTCTCATACCTACCAAAAAATGGAATACAGTTTCCCTACCTCCCCATCCCACCCTCCCTTCAAAAATCAAAGTAAAATAATCCTGAAGTCAACTGAGAGCCTGTTTTGTATCTCATAAGGGATTTAATTGATAGAACAGAGAGTAAAAATAAAAATTATCCCTGAGATGTGTTAGACCATAAATAGAGGGAGGTCCTGATTTTTCTACTTTTTTAAAAATCCCGTTTTACAGCCACATCTTAATCTTTGTTCCCAAGAGCCTGCCTGGGTACCTAGCCCAGTCTTGTCTTTCCTCAGCTGATGTTTCTGGGTACTGTTCCTCTTCCCAAGACAGTGCCTTCCCCCAGGCAGTCTTCCCTTAACTCTGAATCTACCACTCTTTCCCCAGCAGACTCTATGAGAAAAAAAAGACTGTTGATACCAAGTCTCTGGTTGTACAGAGGACTGAAGTAAGATTTGTCCATATTTCAGATAAAAGGTAGATTCAGTGTATGTTCTTTATCTTCCATCATTTTTTTTTTAACAGGTGAGAATTTTGGAGAGATTAGGGCAGGGATTTCAAGTGGAGGTTGTATAAAGACATGGACTGGAGGTGGGCCTGCTGCTTAGGTAACAAATACTAAAAGGCACTTAATGGAGAAGCTGGTCTCCATTGGATATTGGTCTTGGAATTAGAAACATTTGTTGGATTGATCCCAGATTTAACAGGGCTGAAGGATAAGATTAGGATTAGAAAGATAGACTATGTGATGGAAGAGTCTGGATAGAACCATTTAGCATTGTTAAAAAAGATGTTAGGTGGCAGTTGGCTTAATGGAAGTTACCAGTATAAAATGACTGGTTTATGGAAACTAATATGACCTTAAGCTACATTACTAGAAACACAATGTCTGGGCAGGAATTTGCAGTTCCTGTAATGGGTACCACTCTAGGAAAAGGAACAGAGATCAGCCTCTGTGGGGCATGTGGAGTTTGGGCCAGTTTGGTCAAGGAATTTGAACCTGTCACCTCTGAGAGGGTTAAATACTGAGGGGGTGTTTAACCCCCAACTAAAGGCTCTCCACGTGAAGAAGCTTAGGTAACTATCTTCAGAGATTTGAAGGCCCTGGTCCTGACACTTAGCACTTCCTTGGTAAATGTCTGTTGGTGAGTCAAAGCAACAGGACAAAGCTTCCAGCTCAGTGTAAGTTAAAATTTTTGGATATTGCTGTCCAGTAATTCATGGCCTTTACCAGACTGGGACGCAACAGAGAAACAACCCTTCCCATCAGCATACCTGGGGTGATGGACTGCTGTAGTGCACAGCCCAGAAGGCATATTAACAGTGCATGCATCGTGGTGGTTGGAATAATTTTGGATCTACTCTAATTTATTAATATTTTGAGGCGGGCCAAGTAAATAATTTATAGACTAACCTACTTGCAGTATCCCTCAAACCTTGTAGAAGCACTTGTGTGTTCTAACACTGTGGTGGGAGCCATTTGTTCAAGTATGGAACTTGCTGCCCCCTAAGAGTGAATGAATGTGAGGTGACGTGTAGCCCAGATAGCTGGGCACAAAATCATCTGAACGGGAAATAGCGAGGAATTGAACCCAGTTAGGAGCAGTGGTGCTAAAGAGGAAGGAGTGAATTAGACAGATGCTCGGGATAATGGTGTGTGGGGGGAAGGGTGAAGTCTAAGACACCTGTCAGGTTTCCGACTTGAGCAGCAGGTTGGGTGATGCCTCCATTCCTTGAGCTAGGAGACAGTACATCGGGGCGCAGGGGAACAGGTTTGAAGGTGAAGGCGAGGGTGGTAGAGATCCAAATTGGAGACAGTGATTTGGGAAACATTTGCACTTAAGTGATAGTTAAAGCCTGAACTTGGGAGAGTTTTATTCAAGTAACTTAAATGTGAGAAGGGTTTACGCCCCACTTTCACTTTCAGATTTCTAAAAAAAGACACAACTCATGGCCAAATTCAGCTACCATTTTGCAACTCCAGTTAAGGAGATGGTCAGAAGCAGGGGTTGCCAACTGTGACCCTGCAGTCAAATCTGACTCTTTTTTACTTCCCATGAGCTAAGGATGTTTTTATATTGTTGAATGATGGGAAAAAAATAAAAGAACAGTATTTTATGACAATGAAAATGATAAGAAATTCATATCTCGGTGTCGTCAATAACGTTCTGTGGGAACAAACACAGCCACAATCATTCATTTATGCGTTGTCCGTGGCTGCTTTCTCCTGCAAGCGCGCTGTTGAGTCCTTACAGCAGACTGTGTGGCGGGCAAAGCCTAAAATATTTGCTATCTAGCCCTCTGCAGAACAACGTTTGCTGACCCCTGATCAAGAGTAGAGAAGCCCCCAGAAGAAGGGAGAAAGGAAGAACCGAAGAGCTCTCTTGGTGGGTCTCTCAAAACCAGAGGGGCGGGGTGGCCGGTAGTGTCAGGAGCTGCAGGAAAGTCAGAGAAGAAAAGGTCCAGCAAGTGCCCATTAGACTGGCAACGAAATCACTAGTGATTTAGTGAGGAGAGAAGCTTCAGGGAGATGTTCCAGGCAAAGGCCAGGGTGTGTGGAGTGTGAAGAGTGAACGGAAGGTAAAGAAATGGAGCTGAGCTTAGAGGTTACTGAGCAGTGTTGACTGTACGTGGGCCTCTCTGTGCCGTCAGTCTTTGAGATTCTTTTGTACTGCGCTGTAGCTGAATATTACACCAAGAAACTTGTCAGTCTAAAATAAGGTCTTTTATAGGGCCTGTTTGTGTTTTAACTACTACTTTTAAAGACATTTCTAGAAGGGTTTTTCTTTTTTAATATTTGATACCATCAAGGTGTTTAAGGAATATAGTAGTTTGTATTAGTCATGCCTATATCAGAATTTTCTTAAAGACTACTTTTATCTGAAAAAGCATCTTACTGAAGTTTTTTTGGAAATAGAGGCAATAGAAGCTCAGACTGTAAGGTGAGAATGGTATAAAATAATGACAACAGGGAAGGGGAAAAGATGCATTTATTAGAGTAAATAAATGGGTTTTGGTTGTAAATGAATGGGCATTAGAAAATTGGATACCCAGCATTTTTCACAATGTCTTTATTTCTCTTTGATGCAGAGTTCATCTTTAAGCCACAGGCTTTTTTCTGGAAAATAAAAAACTCTGACCTTATTTTGAGCAGCTCATCTTAAGAAATATTTGTACCACAAGCTACAAATCATTAAGCTTCAGAAGGGAAAACAGAGGGTCTGAAAAGTAATTCAGACTTAATTATAATTTCTCTCTCCTTTGTTACCGTCCAACGTTCTAGAGCATGGCATGATACATACACTGATTCCCATGTCTTAAGTTGAACTTCGGGAAGCAGATTGAATTGGGCATCCTGCCTGACAGCTGCCTTGCTCTCCAGTTAGTGTCTAGATTTGCGATTGCCTTTTAAATGCTTACAATTATTGAATTTACAGACAGGTGTTAAAAAAAAATGGAGAAAGAATTCATTCAACTCCTGAAGCAGTTTACTCATAACACGTACTGCATGGCGGCTTTTTCTGACTGTGTCCTAGAGCTTTGAATGAATAGTGACCCAGGCTAGAGCACTGAGTTGCGAGGAGAGTGGTTAAGAGGTGGTCCCGTGTTATAATGACTTTATTATTTATGATCCATTCTCCCTCTGATGTGATGGTGGGAAAATGCCTCGAGGAGCTTTTGCAGAATTTTGCACCATATATGATACTCACCAGATTTCTTTGTGCTATGAATGTTGTAAAGTTAGTCAAACTGATGTTCAGATCTCAACCCTGAAGAGATAAGGGTGTTCTTACCGTGTCTTATTCTGTTTTAGGGAAATCAGTCAAGGCATGTAACAAACCTGGTTAACTTGCATGAAGATTCTAGCTCTTTTACAGAAGGGCAGTCTCACAGAAGCATAGTTCTCTTTATCTTAAAAACTAGTTGGAAGACTCCTCCCAGACTTTGTTGGCTTCATAATAAGAGGAAAGGGGATTGGGAATGCCATGTGCTGTGGAATGGTCCAGGCACAGATAGAAAACGAATCTTTAAAGAATTCATCTTTAGTCATTCATTTATCAGTTACTTATCCATTGGCTATTGTAGGTCATGCCAGAGGTACTATATCAATAATGTTAGACAATGACCAATTTATTTTAAAATATATGTTTATTCTGCTCATCAGACTGTGGATCCTCTGACCTCCCTTCCTTTCTGGGAGGCCCAGTCCTAACTCATGATTGGCTAAGGTTAGACCCAGGGGTTACCTTGAAGTTACTTCAGGCTCCTGCTCTTTTTTCCTGTTACTCTCAGTACTCACCAGTGTCCATAGATTGGGCCCCTGATTTCTGATGACGTATCTCTCTCCTCAGTTCAGCAAGCAACCTGCTGGCCCAGCATCATGTCAGCATTAAGAGCGGTACTGCGACCAGAGCTGGCCTACACACTACTCTGGGTGTCAGGGACTTTGGCCTCAGAATCATCTGAATTACTAGGTTCAGTGATAGTTCCTGTAATACTGCCAGCCTCTATTTGCCAGGTAGATTTGTTTGGAAAGGGTGGCAGTCTTTTGGTAGGATGAAGCAAAGGAGGTACCAACCCAGAAGAACATTCTCTGTAGGGTCGAGGGGAAAGTCAAAGGGCACTTTAACCGTGGGTGTGGGTCTCACATGTTCCCATACTTCCTGTTTGCCACTTTTAAAGTAAGGTAAAATATCAGTTATTTAAGTAAATAGAGACAGTGTCTACATTTTGAAATTTTTATTTCAAATGAAGAGTTGGAAAAAATACAAGGTACACTTGAAAACAAATCTTTTTGGACAAAAGAAAAAAGATTTATAGCATTTCTAATATTTACACAGAGTGCCAAGCAAGAGTCTTTGAGCTCAGGTGGCTGTAGAAACCAAAACCAAGTTGTTTTTGTGATTCTCTAGGCCTGGGATTCCCTGTAGGGGTGTACTATGTGCCAGGCACTAAGAAAAAAAAGATGAAAGATAAGTTCCTGCCATTGTAGGACTTATGGCCTGGTGGGGAGAAGGGGTCTGTAAGTGGAGAATTGCAATATAACTTGGTTAATTCAGTGGTAGAGATGGACAGCATGGTCCAGGAGCACAACTGAGGGGTGCTTAGCATACCTAGTCCAGGGACTTCAGGAAAAGTTTCTCAGAGGTAGATCTTTAAGAATGTGGATGAAGGGGAAGGGCCCTTGGGCTGAGAGCCTTGACTCTTTACTAGGGATCTTGCCTGGGGTCCGTAGACATCCTTAGACCTGCTAGGTAGCCCTTCAGGGGGGTCCACCATTGATTTAGGGGAGTGAATGATGGTTGATTCCCTCTCCTCCTTAGTTAATGGAATATAATTCCACGATATAGCAGTCTTTGAATCCTTGTCACCATCACTCCTTGCCCCTTCCCTGCCTTCAATAAACTGAAGATGGTGGGGAATCTGGAAAGACCGTGTCCCTTCAGGATAAGAGGAAACAGGAATTGTCTTAATGGATTTGGTCTCATGTAAGTTTTCTTAAAAATAATCTTTAGAAAAATGCATTTGATTTTAAAGGCTCTTTCCCCATCTCTCTCTTTCAGTGCCCGAAGTGACGAAACCAAGTTTAAGCCAACCAACGGCCGCCAGCCCAATTGGCAGCTCTCCATCGCCACCAGTCAATGGTGGCAACAATGCCAAAAGGGTGGCAGTGCCGAACGGACAACCGCCAAGCGCCGCCCGCTACATGCCTCGGGAGGTGCCGCCGCGATTCCGTTGCCAGCAGGACCACAAAGTGTTACTAAAACGTGGGCAGCCCCCTCCACCGTCCTGCATGCTCCTCGGGGGTGGGGCAGGGCCTCCTCCCTCCACAGCACCTGGAGCAAACCCAAACAACGCACAAGTGACAGGAACGCTGCTGCAGAGTGAGAGTGGGACTGCACCAGGTGAGCAACCGTGTCGGTGAACTGAATTCACGGCAGCTTTAGAGAGGGAGCGCCTCATCCTTACTGCCCGTGCAAAGTCCGCGGGAACTGTTACTTCCGTGGACTATTGGGGTTATTCAAAAGATGGGGGAGGGTCCCAGGATGAATGTGTACCATCATTTCTCCTGTGAAACTGAGCCTTAGTGTGTGCCCTTGGCCCGAGAGGGTAATGTTGCTGCTCTTTGCCATCACTCTTCGGGGCCTTTTTTCCTTCTCAGACAAGAGCATTACAGTTTGCACCTCCGTGGCTCCAGCTGTCACCACGGGTGTGCGCCCAGGGTATGATTGGAAGTGGGACTAGTGCACAGGCTTGTTCTGAATCTTAGATGCCCATGTTTCTGTTCCCAGAACGCAGGGAGTATAGACAGAATGGTCTCTTAGATTATAATGTGGAATCTTGGGAGGATACCAAATAATACCATTCTGTAGTCTTTTATTAGATTTTTAAAATCAGTATTTCTTAAGAGACCCCTGAATTTTGAGCTTTGTTAAAAACTATTAGTAGATATAAGGGATCTTTTGCTGAGGGGTTTTCCTGGAAGTTTTGAGAGTTTTTAATAGGTAAATACTAAATCAGCTAACAGCTACGAACTTCTAAGCAACCCCCCACCCCTTTTTAAAAAGCTTGTTAACAGATTTCCACTTATCCTTGAAATGTTTTTTGAGGCTATATTAAAATTCAGAGCTTGAAGACTATCAGGCCTTGGCAAGGACAGTGAATTGGTGGTTGTTAACGATAGGATGCTTCATTCTAGTTCTGAGTTTGAACATACAGTGGCCTAGAAAATTCTGTTACCGTCTTGGGTGCAAAGTGAAGATGGAAAGAAAGCTGGTGGTGACCCAGGCTTCATATGGGATAAGCCCTGTTCATGAGGCTTCTTGTGGCTGGCAGGCCAGACGCAAAGCGGGCAGGGAAAGGCCTTCTGGCCCTTCCTTCCTGGCCCCTCGTAACCAGCTGCAAAGGGAAATATGAGGGGGGCGGTTGTGTTGGGCATTTTGGCGGCTGAGTCTAGCCAGGCCTAGACGTAGATGTGGGTCCAGTGTGAGTCAGTCTCTTGTTTACATTCTTAAAAACCAATAGGCTCCTAATCTCAAGAGTTTGAGATTCTCTGCTTCCTTACTTTTATATGGCTCTGTGTAGGAATTTTATCAACTTCATATTGATTTAAAGCTATTTGGTGAAAGGAACTAAAGTAAGTATAGATGAAATTATTGGGTTAAAAACAGGTCATTTTCCCCCCCACCAAATGTAGTAAATTCCATCAAAATATGTGCTGAGGAAGACTAACTTATCAGATTAAGTTCCTTGGGCATACAAACTGATTCATGTTTGTCTGCCCCTGGCATCTGGCTGGGTGGGCATTCATCATTCAGCAGATGCTTACTGAGCAGCCGTGCATTGGCCACCATGGGAATTCAAATGTTAGCAGGATAGGGTCTCTGCCTGAAAGGTGCTAATGTTGGTGATGGAACATGTGAACACAATACACTGAGCAAAATGGCCCTAAACAGGGAAAGGTTATTTTCAGGTGATAAGCTCAAAAAAACTTCCGAGGAGAAATGGCACTTGTACTGCGCCCAGAAAGATGGGTGAATTTCAGTGTGTGAATTCAGAAGGAAAAATACAGTAGGTGCCAACGTGGAATGGTGCCAGGCTGCGAAGGCACAATTTGTGGGATGTAGACATCTTCAAAGAAAGTAGTGGAAGATGAGACTAGAAAAGTCATTTGGTCCCAGATTGTGGAGCATCTTGATCAAACTTCAGGCCAAAGAGTTTAGCTTCCTTCTTGTGCATAAGAAACTGTCCGTTGCTTTCCATACAGCAGCGATACAATCAGAGGTGTGCTTTAGAAAAATTACTCCAGCCAGGAGTGTGTAGAGTGGATTGGAGATGTGAAACAAGCGCAAGGTGTTACTGCTTTGTCTCAAGATCCAGGAAGGCCCTTCTCTGTCAATAAGAATGGCAAGGGGATAACTCTGAGAGGTGCTGTAGGGGTAGATTTAGCAAATACACCAACCAGGCAAAATAAAAAGAAGATATGACTAAGATGGGAGTGATGCCAAGATTAACCAAGGCTGGCAGCTGTAGAGAACTAGTTTGTGGGGAAATGGGATGAGCTCTCTTAGGGGCAGTGTGAGCTCGAGGTGTAAATAGATGGTGCACGTGCAGCTGTGACTGATAAGACAATCTCTTTCTCAGAGTCAACCCTTGGAGGTGCTGCTGCTTCAAATTATGCAAATTCCACTTGGGGCCCGGGAGCCTCCTCCAACAACGGCGCCTCCCCCAACCCAATTCACATCTGGGACAAGGTGATTGTAGACGGGTCTGACATGGAAGAGTGGCCTTGTATTGCCAGCAAAGACACTGAGTCTTCTTCCGAAAACACCACCGATAACAACAGTGCCTCGAACCCTGGCTCTGAGAAGAGCACTCTGCCAGGAAGCACCACTAGTAACAAAGGAAAAGGGAGCCAGTGCCAGTCTGCGAGTTCCGGGAACGAATGTAATCTTGGGGTCTGGAAGTCTGACCCTAAGGCTAAATCTGTTCAATCTTCCAACTCTACTACAGAGAGCAACAATGGACTAGGAAATTGGAGGAATGTGAGTGGTCAGGATAGAATTGGACCTGGCTCTGGCTTCAGCAACTTTAACCCAAATAGCAACCCATCTGCCTGGCCAGCACTGGTCCAAGAAGGAAATTCTAGGAAAGGGGCATTGGAAACGGATACTAGTAATCCCAGTGCACAGGTTAGCACAGTAGGTCAGGCATCCAGGGAACAGCAGTCAAAGATGGAAAATGCGGGTGTTAATTTTGTTGTCTCTGGCAGAGAACAGGCTCAGATTCATAACACTGATGGACCAAAAAATGGAAACACTAACTCCTTGAACTTAAGTTCACCAAACCCCATGGAGAATAAGGGAATGCCCTTTGGAATGGGCTTGGGGAACGCCTCCAGGAGCACTGATGCCCCTTCACAAAGCACTGGAGATCGAAAGACTGGGAGTGTTGGATCTTGGGGTGCAGCTAGGGGGCCTTCTGGAACTGACACAGCCTCTGGACAAAGCAATTCTGGAAACAATGGGAACAATGGAAAGGATAGAGAGGACTCCTGGAAAGGAGCTTCTGTTCAGAAATCAACTGGGTCAAAAAATGACTCTTGGGACAACAGTAACAGGTCTACGGGTGGGTCCTGGAACTTTGGCCCTCAGGACTCTAATGACAACAAATGGGGTGAAGGGAACAAAATGACATCTGGGGTCTCTCAGGGAGAATGGAAACAGCCGACTGGGTCTGATGAGTTGAAAATTGGAGAATGGAGTGGTCCAAACCAACCAAATTCTAGCACTGGAGCATGGGACAATCAAAAGGGCCACCCCCTCCCTGAAAACCAAGGCAATGCCCAGGCTCCCTGTTGGGGAAGATCTTCCAGCTCCACAGGAAGTGAAGTTGGAGGTCAAAGCACTGGAAGCAACCACAAAGCAGGAAGTAGCGACAGTCATAATTCTGGCCGTCGGTCGTATAGGCCCACACATCCTGATTGTCAGGCTGTCTTGCAGACTCTTTTGAGCCGAACTGATTTGGACCCCAGGGTGCTCTCAAACACTGGCTGGGGCCAAACTCAAATTAAGCAGGACACGGTGTGGGATATTGAAGAGGTGCCAAGGCCCGAGGGGAAATCTGACAAAGGAACTGAGGGGTGGGAGAGCGCTGCCACACAGACCAAGAACTCAGGGGGCTGGGGAGACGCACCCAGCCAAAGCAATCAAATGAAGTCTGGATGGGGGGAGCTCTCAGCCTCTACAGAGTGGAAAGACCCCAAGAACACAGGAGGCTGGAATGACTATAAGAACAACAACTCTTCCAACTGGGGAGGAGGACGACCAGATGAAAAGACATCTTCCTCTTGGAATGAGAATTCCAGCAAGGATCAGGGGTGGGGAGGTGGACGCCAGCCCAATCAAGGATGGACTTCTGGAAAGAATGGTTGGGGAGAGGAGGTTGATCAAGCGAAGAATAGCAATTGGGAAAGTTCTGCAAGTAAACCTGTGTCTGGGTGGGGTGAAGGAGGGCAGAATGAAATCGGAACTTGGGGGAACGGCGGTAGTGCCAGCCTGGCTTCAAAAGGTGGGTGGGAAGATTGCAAAAGGTCTCCGGCATGGACTGAGACAGGCAGACAGCCCAACTCCTGGAATAAACAGCACCAACAGCAGCAGCAGCCACAGCAGCCACCGCCACCACAGCCAGAGGCTTCTGGTTCATGGGGAGGCCCAGCCCCACCACCTCCAGGCAATGGACGACCTTCCAATTCCAGCTGGAGTAGCGGGCCGCAGCCAGTAACCCCTAAGGATGAGGAACCCAGTGGTTGGGAAGAGCCATCCCCACAGTCAATTAGTCGGAAAATGGACATTGATGATGGCACTTCAGCGTGGGGAGACCCTAACAGTTACAACTACAAGAATGTGAATCTGTGGGATAAGAATTCCCAAGGGGGCCCAGCACCTCGGGAACCCAACCTGCCTACCCCGATGACCGGGAAGTCAGCATCAGGTAGGCAATGGCTTTTTCTCACAGGTTTTGATGAAGAAAAGAAATCCTAAACCAAGGCATCCTTAATTAAGCTGCATTTATTACACTTAACTTTGTTCTGGGAATCTTTCCTACATTAACTCTATACTGGTGTTAACAGAAGCTCTCCTTATATAAAGTGGTAGTGATAACAGATGCTGGTAGTACATTTTCATGTTCATTCTTGGCAAAAGGAAGACATGGCATCCCTGGGTTAGTCTCCCAAAATTTTTTTTTGGTAATTGTATTGGTCTGCAGAATCCAAAAGACTTATATCTTGCTTAAACAAGCTATGCTCTAGATTTAAAAAGAAAGAATTAAAATAGTAGCAGAAATAGACCTGTTTCCATTCTGGTTCTGCCTGTGGACACATTCTCTGTTTCTCTTTCCCCAGCAATGGGAAGTGTTCTGTGTTGTTCTTGCAGAGAAGTTCTTGCACTATCAGAAAATGCTATAGTTACCTGGGATCTGGAGGGTTTCCGTCACTTTCCAGATGATTTTTAACAATTACCTCTGGAAGTGAAGTACTTCGTTACATGGAGATTGTTACCTCATGATCATTGGTTGTCCAGAATTAAGTGTTCTTCCTGCCTTATTCAAATAGGAAACATCGCACCTAGTAAATTAAAAATAATGCTGGTAATCATTCTTAGTTTGGCATTGTCACCCTGAATGTCCCCACATAGTTCAACACATTGAGGGGATGTTCAGGTGTGTGGTTTTTTAGTTAATATTAATCATAATATTCAATTTTCCACTCCCCAAGTTAGGTCTAGTGTTCAGTGGATCCAGGTATGACCATTCAGAAAATGATGACTTTTAACTCACTCTTTTTAAAAAAATATTGAGAAGAATGAGGAACGAACTGAAGATTGCTCATTAATTCACGTCTAGGATAAAACCTGCTAACATGTAAAAAATTTTTTATTCATATAGGAAAACCCTTCAAACTGTACAGAAAAGCAAAAGGTAATAAATGAAAGAAACCTTAGACCTTAGGGTCTCTCCCCACAGGTCTTAGAATTTTGTGTCCCACTCAAAACTTTTGTTCATACCTATAGCAAAATACATCTGTCCTTTAAAATTTTTACACAGAAGGGATAGTACTGTATACACTGCCTTTTTCACCTTGCTTTTTTCATTATTCATATTAGCACATACATTTCTGTCTTTTAACTGTTTTGCATGTAGTATTCATTTGATGGGTGACCCGCGATAAGTCTGACCAGTTCCTTTTTGATGGATATTTAGGTCACTTCCAAGTGTTTTCTGACAGTGATGGAGGGAACATTGTTGTACATGTTATTTCATCTACTTTTACAAGTATATCTATGGCATAGTTCCTGGCAGTGGAATCACTGGGCCAGAATTAAAGTGACAAAGCCAAGTGCCCTCCATGAAAGTGGGACTGTTTGCATTTCTACCAACAGAATACAGAAGTGCCTTCCTCCCACCTTCCCCTCCACTGGATATTATGGTGTTATTAACAAGTCATTCTTAGAGATCCGTGTCCTTTCTTTACAGTCTGGAGCAAAAGCACACCACCTGCTCCAGATAATGGTACTTCAGCTTGGGGTGAGCCAAACGAAAGCAGTCCTGGGTGGGGTGAAATGGATGACACGGGAGCATCGACCACAGGCTGGGGGAACACACCCTCCAACGCTCCAAATGCCATGAAACCTAGTAAGTAGATGGCGTTATTTTTGAGGGCATCTCTGTTAATGTCGGGGTCAGACGTTTTGGTGAGGGCTGTTTAATGTTTAAACTGTTGTTTCAGTGAGATTCAGGACCTTGAACCTTTAATAAATGGTTAGTAGCAAATGGTGGGGACTTGGCTTGGCCCATGTAAAAATGCTTACAGTGAACTAAAAGCCATTAAGTTAGTTTTGTTGATTTTATTTTAAGTTAGGTTTAGTGTCTGGCCAGAATTGAAATTTTGATGTGCTCCGCTTTTTTTGCCCAGTAACTTAAATATTGCTCACTGTATCTATTTTGCATTTCTACTCTCATGTTAGTGTAATTTAGAAAACAAGTTTCCTGGTTTCCTAATGCGGAACCTGGTCTCTGCTGCCCGGTGACTTCATCTGTGCTTTTCCCTTTGTCTCTCTTCTCATACGTCCACCCACATAGGGACATTTAAGGTTTCTTGAACCTGACGAAGATTTCTTCATTTAAATTTTTTAAGCAAAGCACGTCACACTTATTTACTATCATTGAAAATCTAACCTCTACTTAATCCAGCTGGCAACGTGTAGTCACAGTAATTTGCAAAACTTTGTAAATTAATGCTTTGGAAAGACCCATTGGATGTTCCTCAGTTGAAAATTTCAGTTTCAACTGCCTCTTTTCACTTGTTTGTAGTTTTCTTAAGAGGTATTCCAACATCTCTTTTCTACCATATTGCAGACTTAAGGAATTATCTTTTGGTTAAAAAATGTGGTCATACTAAATGCTCAAAATATGAACAAGAATAAAAAATTCCATTGTCAAGTTTATTTTATAATATTTATGATTCTCATAGTGCCACATGAAGGAATATCATATCAACTATCATAGTCTAGAAATTCACTCTTGTGTCTGTGTAACTTGACTGCATTTTAAAAATTACGAATCTCCTTCACTTCATAGAAATAGCTTATAAAGACTTTGATTTCATCGTAAAATTGATCTCATTGTCATGGGAAATACCATCCTGTAGACTTGGAATAGTTCCAGAATACTATTGGAAGGTATTAACCAGACCCTTGGCACAAGGAGGTACCTTAGCAGTACTTTCAGGATTTTTATGTGTCTTTCCAAACTTCAGAATCACCTTTCTTCCATCACAAAATCCTCAGTTTTCTCCAGATTTTAAAAAATGCCTTCTACTCTTCCAGATCATCCGCAGGTAAAGCTGCAGTTACTTTTACCCTTTCTCTGGGTGGTTGGAATATGTAGTACTCAAAGGTGGGGGCTGTATTGTCACAGCCTGCCAACTGATGCTGACCTTCTCTAAACTGCAGGTGTCTTAAATTTGGTGTGGGCTCTGTGACTAAAAATCAGAACTCTCTTTTTTATCTTTCTCTAAAAAGTCACTTGTTACAAGTTAAGCTCCTTTCTCTACAAGAAGGGTTATGTGGATGTCTTCCTTTTTTAAAGGGGTCAGTATGTTATTTATGTTGGGGTTTAAATTCCTGTTGCTTGTCAGAAGATGTGTAAAGCCTGTGCTTACGTAACAGTGGATAATCTCATATGCAGAAGAAACGATCCTGGTTATCAGTGGCGTTTCCATCAGCAGGGAGAACATTCCCCAAGCCGTGCCTCTTGCCACCCAGTCAGAAAACCCCTTAAAGTAAGGCTGAATGAACCCCATGGAGGGTCCATCAGGTTCACTTGGGCATTGCTGGAAGATGGTACCACAGTTAGAGGAAATCAGCTGTCTTGTGTCCTCTGTGCTTGATGGGTGCGTATGTGGCTTCATAGGCCTGGTCCTAGGGCATGACAGCAGTCATTCAAGGAGGCCCAGAAGAGCCATTTTTCTGCCCCTGGACTCTTCATATGATGCTGTCTAAATCAACTAACTACCCTTCCATAAACGTCCTATCTTTTGGTCAATTGAAGCTGTGGATTGGGATCAAGACAGTATATTTCCCTTCCTTCCATCATTTTATAGAGTGTCATTACTACAGAGTGTATTCATCAGTTCCATATGCTATTTTCAGAGGGAAATTAAGGGTTTATCCCAATCTCCAAATTCAAGGTCTTTGTTTAAAGGGGTTGTTGGTGGAATTGACTGTGGATATTGATGACATCCTGCTTTCTCCAACATGGGATCCCTGTGATTTCCCTCTGTCTTCGTTCTCCCTTCCTCTTATCTGTTGTCCATGTTGCCTCTGCCTGTCTCTTAAAGGCTGTTGCTTATACATTGTCTTTGCCTGAGATCTTTTTTAGTATCTAATACATTTCAAGTCTATAAATCTAATAAATTTCTAATTTTCATGGCTGTATGTGAATTTCTCTTCTTATACCATAGTTTTGTTATTCAAAATCTATTAAAATTTTCTTTTTTATCCCTTTTCATGTTCTTTTCTTCACTTCACTCCAAACAAGGTAGACAGTTGTTCCTTATCATACCCCATATTTATAAAGTCTATTTAAATAAGTATACCACATACTTTTAGGAGGGTGAAACTAAGGACTGCAGTAAAACATACTCGTTAAAAGTAACAGATTTCTCTTAACTGAGATGTGAAATTTCTTATAAGTAGTGATAGGTTCTTTTCAAATTGGGGGTTTCTGTCCACTTTGTATAAGGGGAAAAATCATTGAACTGGAAGCCAGGAAATCTTGCTTTGTGGTTTATTAACTTACTCTGTATCATTGAACCTTTATGGGCTTCCATTTCTGCTCTCTAAAGTTTGAATAACATTTGCCTTGCCATACAGATGGGTTAGATAAAATTATAAATATACCAAAGTGCTGAGTTTGCAAGGAATGATTAGCGTGGTTATTGTATATAGCTGTTGCATACAGTTGGTTCATTCTTTTCTTAAAGATTCCAAATCTATGCAAGACGGCTGGGGGGAGAGTGACGGGCCAGTGACAGGAACTCGCCATCCCAGCTGGGAAGAGGAGGATGATGGAGGAGTCTGGAACACCGCCGGCTCTCAGGGAAGTGCTTCCTCCCACAACTCAGCAAGCTGGGGACAAGGAGGAAAGAAACAAATGAAGGTAGCCTGCTTTAGAAATGCTTGAGTTTGCTTATTCATTCTTAGAAGGCAGAACTGAGAATTTTTTCATGGAAAAAGCCAGGCAGCTGGGAGTCCCTGAGGTCTTAAGTGAGGAGGAAAATACTTTCTTAAGAACAGATAACTACTTCCTCTTTGCTCCTCATCTTTTTTCCCCATGACCTTGAAATCGTGAACTACAAAACTTACTGTGGGTACAATGAAAGTTGCAAAGAAATGAGATTTTTTTCACTTTAGTTTTCGTATTATAATTCCTTGGAAGCTTTCAAGGCACACTTTATAAATGTTTTATGCTTTTGCATTCTAAAGCCAAATTAGTCCTTAGAGTAAATCCCCATGAATATGTAGAAGAGAAACCACAGTAAGTTAGCTTCTCCAGTGGCAATCAGCGTGACTGGTTTTTATCTGATTCGGGAAATTTCCAAGGCCCAGAAGCCTTTTCTCAATAAAGCGAAATGCCAGTACGTAACACAGCCATGGCAACTAGATGAGTTATCTACATCCTGTACCAGTTGTGTTCTGAAGTTTTTACTTTCTGCATCTTAGAACAACTTAGTTTCTCCTTTGATTTGCATAATTTTATGAGAACTTTGGTTTTTCAGTCTAGAACCTGAAAGACTCTTCCAGTGGAAGCCCTCCATTTTCATTCCACAAATACACAGAAAGAAATAAGAAATAAGCAGCCATATATTTAACTTCAGCATGGGAGTCTTGCTGCCCTGAGAAATGCTTCACAACTGATACTCTCTTAAGTTTCAAATACCAGATGTCATTTTAGAAGGTCTTCAGTTGGCCAGGGGCCGTGCCTTCGTCCTCTTTGCCTATAGGGACATCAATTTTGTTCTGAATATAACTCTCTTTTACAGCCTAAGAATACAGGTTGTTTCTATTTGAGATTTTGTTTAAGCAGTCATTTATAGTTTTCCCTTTCAGAGGACTTTTATTTTCTTACTCCAGTCATACGTTATTTGGTAAACTTCCCAGTATTTTTAGTACATTCATGTTGTCTAGTCTGCTGTGGCTTTCTTTTTGTTATTTACAAAGTAACAATGAGACTAAATTACAAGACAGTTCAGGAGACAGCTAAGAAAGCAACTGAAGGAGAGGTACTAGCCCACTCAGGTAACCACCAAGGTTTAATGAAGCTAATTGGGAATTAAACATTTCTGCTCCATGACAGATGGTTCTGACCTTTCATACTGAAGGCCTGTTTTGGGATATGGCAGGGTGGAGATCAAAATACAGATAACATAAAATTTTCCCTCTTAACCAGTTTTAAGTGTACAGTTCAGTGGCTTTAAGTACATTCACATTGTTGTGCTGTCATTACTAACATCTGTCCACAAAACTCTTCTCCATGCAAAACTGAAACTCTGTACCCATTAAACAGTAACTACCACTTCTCCCCTCCCTCCAGTGAGGGCTTTTTTGACCTTTAAACCTGCAAATGAACTTAAGTACCTTAACACTTTGAAGAATAATACCAGTTGCCATGACCAGTATCATCAGAACACAGACAGAATCTTTACCTGGAGAATGCACAAATGCATGAAGCCCTGTCACCTCCTGCCCCCAGCACGTCCCTGTCATAGTTCCACATGCCTTCTCCATAGAAAGAAAAGTGGAGCTGATGATTGGTGTCTTGTTCAGGTGAGAAATGAGTTTGTCCCATCAAAAAACAAACAGAAGCCTACATCTGCCTGACTCTGCAATAAGATTGCTGCTGGTGTCTCCTGCTAGGCTTCTTTCCCTCTGGGGACCCCTGTCCTTTACACTGAAACAAGCAGATGAAGGTGCTACGTGGATGAGTTCCTCATTGTATCCGCACAGAGAATAGTGACCAGTTTAAATAGACTCCTTTCCAGATAACATGCACCATCATCAAAAAACTCTTTTTCTTTTCTCCTAATTCAAACGGGCTTGGGTTACAAGGAGATTCTAAGAGGGAAAGTACTAGCATACAAATGTTGTATTTTAGAAAATCTGATACTGACTTTCGATTTATGGGTGAAAACACTAGCTGACCATGTATTTGTCCTGTTCTAATTCAGTGCAATGAATAAAATGAGAATGAAAACATAGATGTAACTAAGATGTACTACTTTTTTAGACTAACAGATAATGTATCAAAATAACTAGTTAAAGAGAAATAGTTATGGTTCAAAAAGGTAAACTCTTGGTTTTATGTTTGCAGTACTTAATGCAACTCTAATAGGAAGTTGAAATAAAATAAATTATTTGGTTCTGACACTACATATTTCATTTCTCTAGTGCTCACTAAAAGGAGGAAACAGTGATTCATGGATGAATCCTCTTGCCAAACAGTTTTCAAATATGGGATTGCTGGTAAGTTTTATTTCTTCGTATGTGAAATGTATCTTAGCTTTTACGTTTAGTGCAAATTTCAAGGCCACTGCCACAGATAGTACAAAATTATAGATTTAGAAACGGATTAAGCAATGTTCCTGATTTGGATTAGGCAATATTTGTTCTGTATTCTTTTTTCTTAATGAAATACTCCAATATTTGAAGGTTACACCTTTTAAATTTGTAGTCTTTGTACCCTTTTCCTTAGGCGGTTAGGGAAGAGAGAGCCAGGTACTTATAATTTATATAATTTTTGCTGACTACTGTACCAGTTTTAATATTAAAATTTTTAAAAGGACAGCAATAGCAGAATAACTAGGGAAACTATTTGTGATTAATTAGGTAGGCAATTCTTGTAGAATTTCTATTTTTTTGATCTCCTGGGAACATTATGGGGACACCCTGATCCTTCTTGCCAAAAGACAAATGACTTGGCTGCACATTGCAAGATTTGATGACTTGACAAGTCACGAGAAGAAGTTGTCATCATTTGGCTGCCACTCATGGAATTTGATCCTGAGCCGACTGGAACTTGAGGACAGGGGTTCATTTCTCCAAGCAGCTGTTTAGCTATTGCTCTGTCCCTAGATTTACTGAAGCTAATTTGATGTGAAAATTGAATTTAGAAATATAGGCACCAGCAGCAGTCAAAATTAGCCATATTAAAAATGTTATTGTCTTCATTCCAACTTAAGGTTCATTTCAAAGGACCTCATATAGTGCTGGTAGTAAACTAGGGTGTGACTAGCATATGAATAATGCCATTTCTTCTCTGATTCAAACATTTAATTCAAACCTTAAATCTTCCCTCACTGTTCTTTATTTTCAGAGTCAAACTGAAGATAATCCAAGCAGCAAAATGGATCTGTCTGTAGGTGTGTATACTCCACTAATACGAATGGAATATGTTGTTGTTAGTGATACCCTGTTGGGATCCCCTCCTCAGTTTGAGTTGGGACAGGTGCAGTGCCATGCTAGACACGAGGTGGGGGCTGAAAACTCAAGTGAGTGCAAGAGCCAAGAAAGTAATGTGAGTGGTGTGTGCCAGGTATAAGAAATTGGGACGTGGAAGGCACTGGTTGGCTGTGGAGAGCAGATGTACCACCTGTAGGAGTCAGTCTTTGCTCTGCTGTGAGCGATGATTGGCCTGGAGGAGGGCAGGCTTAGCTTTGCCAGATCCTCCAGTGTTTCCAAGAGAGGCCAGAACTTCACATATACATTAATGCCCTGATTTTTACATATTGGAAAGTAATTCAGTTATCTAAAAAGGCTGTGTGTGGCCAAAACAAAGTATGTTTGTGGCGCTGCCAGATTCAGCTCTAGGGTTGCCAGTCCTGTCCTCACTGGGCTTTTCCGTCCATTACTGACAAACTCTCTATCACAAGTAGAGCAGATGAAGTGTCAGCCCTTCATCTGTGGGTCTTCACAGGGAGGCTGTTGCTCACGCTGAGGAACTTAAAAAGTATCAAACCAGGAAGAAAAGAAAACAGTCCTGGGAGATAAGGGAAACAGCCTCTGATCTGTGATTCCTTCATATATGAGAATAACTAAAAAGTGAGCTTCATGTCAGTATAGTAGCAACTTTACAGAGATGTGAAAGAGAGCAGGAATAATCATTGCACCTTGGAAAGTACGTTTTGCAAGTAAGCGGCACGCCATCTCCTGTGTTTAACTCGGAGTTCTAAATTTTAGGGCAACAGCCATGTCTCTTTGATCTTTTTATTTCTAATAATTGTGTTTTACAACCCCAGCCATTTATCTAGCAGGTGCTAAAACAGCAATAAGAGATACATTATCTCACTGAGAATATTTGAATATATGAGCAAGATAGAGTCATCAAACATATCAATAACCAGTCTAGGTATATTTTTGGTTAGATTTTTACCAGGTTAGCCTTAAGACCCTCTTTCAATCTTCCATAGAAAACAAGCAATAGCTGATACATATTGTGGGGTTTTTGAGGGGGTGTGTGTGTGTACGTACAAGCGACAGCTGATACATGTTGTGGGGTTTTTGGGGTGTGTGTGTCTGTGTTTGGTTTATTTTGTTGTTGTTGTTTGTTTAAGCATCCACATGTGTTCCAGGAAGGAGCACTAGCAGCCTGAACCCGTGAGAGCTCTTCTGGTCTTAAACCAGCATCCCAGAGAGGATAGTGGGATAGGTCACTTCTTGCTCATGGGGGAGACACTGATTTGTTAAAATGTTCACTCTTTCTTGTGTTACTTTTCAGGGAGCCTTCCAGAGAAAAAATTTGATGTGGACAAGCGAGCAATGAATCTCGGGGATTTTAATGATATCATGAGGAAGGATCGACCTGGGTTCCGTCCACCTAATTCCAAAGACATGGGAACCACAGATAGTGGGCCTTATTTTGAGAAGGTGAGTTGAATCCTTGGTTTAAGATAATAATTCATGAGAACTGCTTTGGTTCCCATTTGTCTTTTGATAATTAATTCCAGAAGGAAGCGTAGAAGTACTGAACCAAATGAGTAAGCAAAACACAAACATCACCTGCATTTAAGTGATGACATGAAAGTAGTTGATGTTGACAGGTGATTAGGCAGTAGCTAGAACCATCTGTCTTTAGGATATGAATATTGTGAACAAGGTCTAAGTTTTGGGAAATTTATGAAGTTTGAAGAGGGGAAGTGGTCTGTATTTATAGTGGGGGAAATGCACACTCGAAACATGTGGAAGAAATTCTAGAGATAAATTGATTCTGAATTCTTTTTCTGCTACCGCATAATTACAAATTAAATTTTTGGATCTTGTGCAGATACTCTGTGTCTCCTAAGGCCTTGCCTTCTAGCTTTGTCAAGATGACCCAAAACTTTCTCCTTTGCTGTTTCTAAGAGAGCACTTTTGTCTTCTTTCTCTGTTTCCCTAATGGTCTATTTTTAGTTACAATGGTATACAAGTTCTCAACACCTGTTTTAAACAAGTCATTTATACCTATTTGTTTTGATTTTTAACATGTCTAATGGAGATTATTCTGTGATTCAGAACACCAATTTGTAGTGTTCCTGGTCTTCAGAAAGCAGATAAAGCCAAAATTTTTTAATCTGGCACATTTTTGACACCGCTGGTGCTGGGCCAGACAGCAGCATGTTCACAGGAAGATTGCTCTGGCTTCTGTTTCAGCAGCCACGTAGTTAGAGTAATCAGTATTAGATTCCTAAAAATGAAGTGTCTGGCGATTTTTGTCTTCATGCAGTGGACAGAATGTGTTACTAGCTTAAGAGGATAAGAAGAATCTGTATCGAAGAGGATTACAGATGGTATCTATTGGGCAAAGTATGATGATGATGATGATCAGATCCAAATTCTGTCCTCGTTTATTGCTAATACACTCTAACTTTGTTTATTCCTGGTGTTTCTCTCTTCCCTTCTTGCATTCTGTTGCTTCACTAACCAACACTCATTGTGATTGGCTAACTACTACTACTTTTCAGCTGACTTTGCCTTTCTCCAATCAAGATGGGTGCCTTGGGGATGAGGCTCCCTGCTCTCCCTTCTCCCCTTCTCCCAGCTACAAGCTGTCTCCCTCTGGTTCCACACTACCCAACGTCAGCCTTGGAGCAATCGGCACAGGGCTCAACCCCCAAAACTTCGCTGCTAGACAAGTAAGGAGGCCTCTCAAATTTATAACTGCTTGGCTGTGGCCTCGCCTTGGCCCTGGTCTGCAGTTTATTGCATCATTTGTCTGTCTTGGGAAATTTGTTGATTACTGAATGCACAGAATGATAGTAAGTGTAGGCTCTAGATCTTTCAGCCCATGGAACCCATCTCTCTTCATGTTTCTCAACATGGGTTTTGTTTTAAATCTGTTTCTTTTGTCCTCCCATTTTTGGTCATAAGTTCACGTTTAATAGGTTGACTAATGACTGGCTTAGGAAAATGTTAAAGAGGCTGCATGGGTACCTTCTGTCATTTAATTTAACAACAGGTTTGCCACTACTAACATTAGATTGAATGGCAAGTTATACTTTTGAGGTCTTTTCAATTTAATATAATTGCTAGCTAGAAAATAGCAGCAAAACTAGTACTATTAAATTTTTAAGGGTTATAGTATCTTAAAAATCTAGTTCAAGTGTAAAATTACCCCAAGAAAGGTGACGTGTATATTAGATAATGAAGTGTTAAGAAGACCGGATATTGCCCAGACGTGCAGTGTTGGGGTCCGCCTGGAGCAGCCCCTTCCCTAGGGTTGGACCTGTCGGTCCTCTGAGGACAGGCTGGGCTGTAGAAACAAGGCTGGAGGACCTGCGGGATGATGCCTCCCTGCTGTGCAGGCCTGACTGAGCAGGCGCAGCAGGCCTTTATTGTCTCACAGTAGCTCTGTTGTAGTTTTTGTGGAGAAAACCAGGAATTTGAGGATAACTCCTTTGCGACAGTGACTCCAGTGATGATATTTTTCTAGCCTTAGTTCCATGACTACTTGCCTGTCACTCTGAATTTCACCGCGGATGTCATGGAAGGACATTTAATTATTTGCATTACATGTTTGCACATGATGATTTTCACATTTAAAGGATGATGTGAGACACCTCTTACATCAAGTTGCACATAGATCTTTCATATGCTTTCTAATGGTTGCCATGGCACATTTAAAAAAAATGGATTATATTATATCCATGTTTTTAGATTGGTTATCTCTGAATTGGGAATAATAGATTTTTTTGTTTTCTTCCTTTATATTTCACTCTTTCTTAATGGTTCCACAGAGGACATGGCTATGTATTGTTTATATAAACAGAGAAGAAACAATTACATCAGTTTTGGTGGGGAGGAGGGATCTTTTGGGTTAAGGTATAAAAAATATAAAATAGTCTTAACGTTCTTGGTTAATGATCATTATGTATATACTTCCAGGATCACCTGATTATCAAATACTTCTAGTATATAAACTTTAATATAATTGACCAGCCAAACTAGCTGTGTACTGGATTCTTAAAAAAGGTCATTCCTCTTCCTTTTTTTGATCTGTGGATTGCTGCAAAGTCTGTTGTGAACCAGATTGATATACATATTCTATCCAAATATGGTCATGATTTTTTTCACACTATTTTCATGCCGAGTTAACATGCTTCATAATTTAAAAATAAAATTTAAGAGGGTTTTTTCCCCCAAATCTCAGAGGATTTCAGTCAGCTTGATAACCTTGTTTTTAATGTATATGCCTTTCCAAGTTGAACACTGTAGTTGAGGCATATATCACCAATAATTATTAGGCTCCAGGTCATCATAAAAGCCTCACATACAACAGTAAAACTTTAGAAATAGGCGGATAAACCACACTTATATATATATATATATATATATATATATATATATATATATATATATATATATATATATATATAATTAAATACATTACTGTACGAAATAGCTACTTCTGAGCCAAGATGACCAGCTTGTGATTCCAAGGTTCTATATTAAAAGATAACAAAGAAATGAGGACCTCTATATAGCACAGAGAACTATATTTGGTATCTTGTAATAACCCGTATATGTATAACTGAGTCACTTTGCTGTACACCTAAAACTAACACAACACTAAGTCTACTAGACTTCAATAAACAGAAATATGAAAGGTATTTTTTTGGTAGACCTCTGTTGACTTATCTCTTATTATCCATATCAGATATATCAAAGTGCTTGGTATGGCTTTGGGACACTTGATAATGAAAACCTAAAACCTTTGGTAGGAGTGGGATGGAATCTTTCTGTTAGGAATAGGAAAACAAGGCTTGATTTTACAAAAACTATAAGGCAGGTACCTTTTAATACTTCTTACCAGAAAGAGGTTGAAATTAAAAATGACCCCAGCAAAGCAGTTTGGGATCCCCCCAAAACATGGATTCTGAAAGGACTTTAGCTATCAGAAACTTCACCATCCAAGGATCATCCATGAATAAATAACATATAATAATAACACAGTTATTACTTTGATAGTAAAGTGTAAGTGAGAACCATCTTAGCAGAGTAGCCTTAGCAAAATAAATGTTTTCTCTTCTCCCGGGAATGACTAATAGCTAAGCTGCTGACAATGACTAGCAGGACCTCAGAAGAACCAGAGCTGAGCCATCTCACCTCAGAGAGACAAGTCTGATTAGTAAGACAGGAGAAGCAGAGACAGGAGAGCTTCTAGAATTAAAGGTCTTTTCATGTTTAAATAGTCCTTTGGGAGATTTAAGATTCATGGTGGATCTTTGATTTTTTTATGAGATTTACACAGATTTTAATCACCATTTCTACTTTCTGTTCATGGTCATTTTCATTTTCAGTATTTTTAAGTTCATTAATATCCCTGAAGCAGTCTCTTAATTCTATTTTGAATCATTAAACTATCAAAATATCTTTAGTGTTCTAGAACTTAATGATGCCATTACAAAATTATTCTTTAAAATAACTTTAATCCCCGCGACTTCAGGGATAAGATGATGGTGGTGACATCAGCTCGGAGCGCCCACACTTGGTATAAGCAGTGGTGCAGCTGTCTTCACTGATGATGCTCAGTGGGACATTTGTTTTCAAGCGTATGAAATTGGTGGGTCACGGATGTTTGCAAATGATGTGCTCATCCTACAGACCAGGGCTTTATTGAGCTTCTGGGAATACAAAGAGGGAAATGTTAAGCTGGTGGTGGAAAGATAGAATGGAAAATAACTATAATGTAATTTGACGATAGGCCTGTCAACAGGAGGTTTGAAGTGTTCTACAAACATAGAGGTGAGCTCAGGTGATTTGGATGTGGAATGAGGAGGAAGGTTTGGGAAAGACCTTCTTGATGAGGCTGACCTCTGAGCTGGGCCTCAAAGAGGTCGAGTGAAGATGATACGAAACACTATGTCAGGCAGAGGCAGCAGTGTCAGGTGTCAAATGCATTTTCTTTGCTTCTTGCTAGAAACAATTCGGAAAGGAAGGGCCATCATATAGCCCTGGTTTTTATAGCCCTTTGATTGAAACAGTCTAGAAGTGCTTCAGTGAGTTGGTCCTCCAGAAATCAGGGAGTTAAGCTTGTTTTTAACTAGACTGATAGTCATACATTTGAATGAGAAGTTACAGGTGAGTAATGTTTTGGTGACCCTGGAATGATTTTTCACTTTTCCCCTTTCTTCCTTTTTAATTTCACTGTGTGATTGATTCATATTTCTTAATTGAGCAAAGAAGGGGCCAAGCAGACCCAAGACAGAGAAGAGTGTTCATATCTGGAGTAGGGTCCTTATGGAGCTAGGCTCACAATTGGGTGGCACTGATTTTGTGATTGAGTTAACCAGTTTGGACAAGTAATATCGTAGTATTGTTTTACAACTGATATTATTCGCAAGCCTGCATTTTTACAGGTGCCTTTCAAGATGGGTCTCAGATTATATAGTTTGAGAATAAATTTGGGAAACCCAATTGTAAAAAAGGAAGTAGTTGAATAAATATTATATCACCTGCACCTTTCAATAACAACCACCACAAAATTAGTGCTTTTTCTAATATTTGACTACATTTAACCTTTTGGCTTATGGAATGCGTCAGACTGCAGGGTTGGTGATGATGTGCCCATGATTGGGTGTGAATAATTTTCCAAGCATTCCAAGATCAGGAACTTTTCAGTTAAAAAATTCTGTGGTTCTGTGAATACAGAGTATGATTCTTCTGAGGGGTAGAAAACCTGAACTGTTTCTTATTTACATTTTTTTATGTTAACAGAAAGCCTTACCGTTGCTGTTCTGTTTGCAGGGTGGCAATCATGGTTTGTTTGGAAATAGCACAGCACAATCGAGAGGTGTGCACACACCAGTGCAGCCGCTGAACTCTTCTCCTAATCTCCGGGCGCAAGTGCCTCCCCAGTTCATTTCCCCCCAGGTAAGCAATTACATGGTTCCACAATTCAGAGGTGAAGTCCAGGCGGTTTCAGCTGACTGGTTTTCTAGACATAAGAGGAGTAACAGTTACCAGTCTGAAATACGAAAAATCCAGCTGCCAAGGATCAAGATTTTTAGAATAAGATGTCAGATCTCTTTTTATTCATTGTATTGTGCATACAAAGTTAGACCTTTTTGCATGAAAAGCATTATATTTCTTTTAGCTCTCCTATATATTTTCACAATATTATACTGATTTTTTTAAACTGTGTATAATTTAAACTACTTTATATATTCTGATGTGTCCACATTCAGAAGTTGGTTGTCCTCAAGGACTTGGAGGAGAATGGCCAGGTTCTGGGTTACTCTGAAAAGTTGTGAGGAGATACATGCTAAAACACTGACCAGGTGCTCTAGGGGTATTTATTGCTAAAGAAGAGGCAGAGAATGACTCGCAGAGCAGCTCTGTGTGGGGTGTGGTTCTTTGGGTACCAGGGGAACCTTTTAGGTCCCTTTCTTAGCAGGAGATGGGCAGTGAGTTATTTGAGGGTATAGGTGAGAGATTTGTGCCAGTCTGCCACATACTGCCCCTCATCATCCCTCTTCGTGAGAAAACAGGTCTGGGGAGCAAAGTAAAAGCTGATAAGCCCGAGTGAGGATTCAGTGTGTGACGTTAGAATGTTATTTTAATGAACTAGAATCAAGAGCTTTCAGTCTGTCCCGTCACATAAAAGGGAATGGGGTACTTAACAGATCCAACCAGCAGGTTGTGAAGGGTCAGGTTTTGTTTTTGTTCTTTGATGTCTTTTAAGACAAAAGCTTCAAGTATTTATTTGAAACCCTCATCTATAGATTGCAAATCCCATTTTCGACATTGAGTCTCTGTCTTGGTAGAGGAAGAAACGTTCATCATGTCCGCCCACCCCCATCCTCGTGGTCCTGTCTGGGAGTCGTCTTAGTGCCTCTCTCCTTCCTCTTCCCTCTAACTTGCACTCATCCTTCAAGTCCCGGGTACTGGAAGATCCTCCAGACAGAGCTGCTCTTGACTTCCCCAGCACTTTATAATGGCAGCATCTTGACTCTCAGAGCACTTGCCAGCATGTCTTGGTATCGGGCCAACAGTCATCTGTGGTTGTGGAATATCTGCAGTGAATAGATGAAGAAAACACCTCTCCCACCGCGGCCTCCTGCAGTTGGTGGTGGTGTTGGAGGACAGTCAGCAGATAGTCAGTGTGATAAATGTTGTACAGAAATGCCTGACAGAGTTTGGGGAGCTGGGTGAGACCTCACACCAGCAGTGACATTTAAGCTGAGTCTTGAAGAATGAGTCAGAGTCTGCTGGGCACGGCCAAATGAAAGGTACCTTCTAGGAGGCAGAAGCAGCTTGTGCGAGGGGCAGTAATATCTGGAAGAACATGGTGCGTTTGGGGAAATGCTGTTGGTGTGAACAATTAGTTTGAGTTTCTGGAAGCATTCTTATGGGATCTAGAGTGGAGGAGGAGGGAAGTAGTCAGGAAGTTTGGGACCAAATTTGGAACAGTTTTGTTTGCCTTACTGAGGAGTTTGGACTTTGTCCTTTGGTCACCATGGTTTGTAACCATTATCTTGGCTGCTACTTAAAAACGCAGTTTCCAGGTCTTCCCCCGTCTACAGAGACACAGTCTTGGGTGTTGGGCCTAATGCCCCCCAGGTGATTTTTATGTGCTCCCTTGGCTGTTACTGCTAAAGATACTATAGTGTTAGGCAAGATTTCTCAGCTGAGTGGCAATATAGGAAAACTTAAGTTTAAAAAAACCACTAACAGTAATATAGAGGACATGTTTGAATGACAGAACTATGAGAGCAGAGGAGACGAGTTACAATGCTGTAGTAGTAGTCTGGGTCAGACAGTGGCAGTGGCAATTAAGACCTTCCTGGGAATGTCGCCAGTGATCTTTGTGTTGTGGAATACAGTGGTCTGTTCCCCAGTCTCTTTTTAATCAATGTATCAGCAGCATTTGACACGGTTGATCACTCCCTTTTTGAAACAATTTATTTGGCCTTTGAATACTTTGTATTGATTCTTCACCTGTCTTGTCTTCTCTGTTTGCTTTACAAGTTCTTCCTCACTCTCCCAGCGTTTAAACATCTGAGCCCCCCCAGTCTCAGTATTCGAACCTTTTCTCACCATCTACAGCCACTACAGGTGATCTTACCCAGTGCGATGACTTTAAAATACTGACAGTTCTGAAATTATGTCTCCAGCCCAAATCTCTCTTCTCAGCTGCACAGACTTCTGGCCGTCCATACTAGGATGCCTTCTAGGCATCTGAAGTTAACACACCCAAGACAGAACTTCTGGCTTCATCCCACACTCCCCTCAAAAACATGCTCTTCCTCCAAGTAAGTGGTACTCTCTTGTTGCAGGTGCTTAGGCCAGAGACCTCAGAGCTAGTTGTGAGTCTTCATAGCCCACATCCGACCCAGCCACAGATCCTCCCTTCAGAGCTTTACCAGCACCCAACCATTTCCTGCCACGGCCATGGTCTCCTTGACTGGTCCCTGCTCTGCTTCATCTAATAACTTGCCTGCCTCGAGTCTGTTTTCCATCCAGACTTCAGACTGATCCTCTAAAACCACGCTGTCCAGTGTAGCCATTAGCCGCGTGAGCACTTGAAATGTGACCATGAAAGAACTGAACTTTTAGTTTTAATTAATTTAAATGAAAGTGGCCACAGTAGGTTAGTGGCCACTACATGGACAGCGCAGGTGTGGAACATTTCTGTCCTCACAGAAAGTTAAGATAAATCATGTTACTGCTTTACTAGGAGTCCTCCCCTGGCTTCGCCCTGACTGAGAATGCAAAGCCAGCTCTTTACTGTGGTCTCTGAGGCTCTTGGTGATCTTCCCACCCCCACCTGCCACTCTTCTATTCGTCCAGCCCTCTCCAGCCAACTGGCCCCAGTGCACCAAACATACTTTCTAGAATGCTCTTCTCCCAGATTGCCGCATGGCTGCATCTTTGTTTCCTTCAGATCGCTGCTTCACTAGCACTTTATCAGAGAGGCCGTCCCAGGCCAGGCTGTCACCACCCCGCTGGTACTCCTCCTCCCCTCCCCCAGGCCCGGGAGTGCAGCACACGGCACAGCAGCTGGATCTGCATCTGCTTTGTTCCCTGCTGCGTCCTCAGCATCTACAACTGTGCACGGCATGTATATTGAGCTCGGTGAATACATGTCAAGTCATGGGTAGGCATGTTTCAGAATGATCTAGAAAGTGGAATTGTTAGGAAAGCGTGGTTAACTTAGCCTAAGAGATTTTGGTCATAAAGAAATGTGCAGCCCCTAAGTGTCTGCTGTACTTGGAAAAGAAAAGTACTTATACTCTCCTACAATTTTGAAATTTGTTTATTTAGCAAAATGCAGTTAACATTTATTTAATGCATAATGAGGGAAAACTACTCAACAATGGAATATTTTTTTCTGATATTCACCTATTTTGAAAAGTGAAGTTGCTGGGTATCACTTAAAAAAATTTTTTTAAGTTAAGACAATATAATAACCACACTGAAAGTTTGGATTGTGCAGAAAAAAATTCTTCCAGCAACAACTCCCTCATCCCCCGACCCCACCCCAGCTGTAGTGACAAGAACTGCTTTTACACAGTCCCGTGTCCAGACTTAGTTCATGTACAGGCATACTTTTCACATAATTGCATCCATGGTCACGATATCCTGCTGTTTTCGTTAACATTGGGTCATAGTATTTCTTCGTTACTAATGTAGTCTTCAAGTTGATCATTCTTAATGAAGAAGGCAAAATGACCCAGCAGGCAGGCTTGTTTTGATTTCCCATTATTGGATATTAAGTCGTTTTCTTATTTTTCACTGTGATAAATAATGCTGTAGAGAAATCCTTATACAGAGATGTTTGCCCACATTATTTCTAAATTTAGTTGCCCAGAATGAGATTTCTAGGTCAAAGCATGTGAACATTTCAAATTCTTGATGAATGTTATCAAATTTTATATCCATTTTAACCACATTATAGGGACAGTCAATAATTAATGTAAACATAGGAAGAAGACACTGAAACTCATCTTTAAGATATGTTACAAATGTTCCAGGCCATGGGTTTTTCTACCTTGCCCTTTTCTTCCTATTGCTCAAATATTCAGAGAGTAACATATTCTAGAGGTTTTTGACTTGCTTTTAAATTGCTGTCATTTTGCACCTATAACGCTTTGTTAAATGCCTCTAACTAGAGCTTCATTAAATTGACTCCAACTAGAGCTTCGCTTTCTCCAGCCCAGCTGGAGATTGAAGGGCTTTTAAGCCAGAGTAATTAACTCCCTGCCATGGGAATGTGCAGACCTGCACTTTAATTATCCTGCAACCCAGGTATGAATAGCCGTTTGCCAGGAGCCTAGTAGAACTTCTCTCTGGTCTTTTTGTATCCACTGGAGGATAGTGCTTGTGCAGTGTGAAAAGGAGAAGTTGAGCAAAGCTGGATAGGAGGTCCTCAAAGTGTAACCTCCATAGTCTTTATAACCTTCAATGGATACAACATGTGATGTGCTGGCATTTAAATTAAAGTATAAAAATACTTCATGTTACCATTTCTTTACTTTTCTTTATAGTCTTTTTGTATCTATCTTTAAACAGTATATTGTTTCATGTTCCCTTTTTTGCACTTTATGTAATGAAATCATGCAGTTTATGTAGCCTTCTCTCTTTTTCTGCTTGATATTGTTTCTAAGATTTTCCCATGTTGATTTGGGCAGTTGTGGTTCATGCAAGTGTTCTACTGCATGAATAAACCAGCATTTATTTACCTATGCTATCCTACTATAGATAAGCTATTTGGGTTGTTTCCAGATTTTTGCTATTACGAGCAGTTGCTGCTGTGAATATGCCTAGATCTGTCCCCTAAAATGAACTTCTCCAGGGTACTGCTTGGTCATGGACGTGTTTTACTTTGTATGGTGGTTTCTTTAGCTAATTTCAAGTAGTAGGAGTAGTGAGGAGGGTGAGGGGCTGATGGGCTCTTGCCGGGGATGGCATATGTTCTCAAGACTGAAGAAAAGTGGTGACCAAGAGACCAGCTGATTTGTGCAGTAGATCTTCTAAAACAGAAGGAAGAAGGGAGGAGAAATGACAGCTCAGACAATGGGTATCTATTTTGGAGGCCAGTTGGTTAGGAAACGAAATAAGCAGAGGAGATTTCCTGTGAATCATAGAAGAAAGCTCTAGGAAGGAAGTTAGAAACAATGCTGATCCATGCAGACCATCTAGAGCAGCACTGTCCGACAGAAATGTAACACAAGGCACGTAATGTAAAGTTTTTAGTAACCACATGTAAAAGATAAAAAGAAACTGGTAAAATTAATTTAGTAGTATATATTCTTTAACCCAATATATCTAAATTATTATCATTTCAACCTGTAATCAGTGCTTTTAAATTATATTAAAATTTTCAATTTTTTTCTGAATACCAAGGCTTTGAAGCTTGGTGTGTATCTTACACTTAAAACACATCTCAGTTTAGGTTAGCCGTGTTCCAAGTGTTCAATAGCCTCACGAGACTAGTGGTTAACACAGTAGACGGCCAGGCCTGTAAGACATAGTTATGTTAGTTTCTTTTCTGGAAATTGTCGCAACAAATAACCGCAAGCTGGGTAGCTTAAAGCAACAGAAATTTGTACTCTCACAAGTTCTAGAGGGTAGAAGTCTGAAATCGAGGTGTCATCAAGGTTGGTTCCTCCTGGAGGCTCCAAAGGAGAATCTCTTCTGTGCCTCTCTCCTGCCTTCTGGTGGCTGCTGACAATGCTTGGTGTTCCTTAAAAGCATTGCTCCAACCTCTGTCTTCTTTTCCACATGACATTCTTCCCCTGTGTGTCTCTGTATTCACATGGCTTTCTCTTCGTCTCTGTGTCTCTTCCTGTTCTTATCAGGACCTCAGTCATTGGATTAGGACCCACTCTCATCTGTTATATCCTCATCTTAAACTTGATTATGTCTACAAAATTCTACTTCTGAATAAGGTCACATCCTGAGATCATAGTTGGGAATGAATTGTCGGGGATGCAGTTCAACCAATTGCTAAATCAAATGAATTTAAGATACACACTGAAGGTAGTGAGTTTGATTTCATGAGTCACTGGGGAATGGTGGACTATGGCTCTGGTTTGGAATGTGGTGTGATAGCATAGGACACAGCTACACTCCTCACCCCCCTCCACACCGCCCCCCAAACCTCTTAATACAAGGAGATTAGAACTTTTGTATCAGAGATGGTAAGTTAAGCCACACTGGTGACCGCTTGGGTGAACACAAAGGAGAGATGAGAGTTATTATGTGCAAGAAATCGTGGAGAGTTTTGGTCGTGCTGGCTATAAAGCTGGTACAGAGGCACAGTGCACAGTAGTGATGTGCTTGCTTTGCGCTCATATCTGCTAGGGGTCTAACTGTTAAAATAGAAAATCAAACATGTTCTTTAATTGGTCAGCAACACTCAGCATCTCTTAGAGGATAGAGATGAAGCAGCTGGAAGAACTATTAATTTAAACCAAAATACTTTCCCAAATGAGAGAACTGATAGGTTAAGTGAAAGTGCCTGAGATCTTGGAAAGAAATGAGTTGATGAGCCAAGTATAGGAAACTTGAACTGAGATATTTTTAGACTAGAAAGTGTCAAACAAAAGATAGGCAGATATTCTTGAGAATGTAGCAGAGACCGTGACTCAAAAGTAGTAGGAAGCTGAGGAATGTAACTCTGCCTGGGATGCTAAACAACCATGGGGAGATCCCCATGGATCTTCTGGTTAAAGGCTCTCTTATGACTCAGGTTTTATGGGGGCATTTTAGACAGCTTAAAAAATGGCTTTTCTGTTCTGCAAAGGGCTCTGCACTGAGAAATTGAATGAGATACAGGTGAAAGAAGGGATCATATTTAGCCTGGAGATGAGATGCAAGGGAACTGTAATCATTGTCTGTAACATCTGAAGAACCATCCTGTGGAGTAATATGAATATTGATGGAGCACATTTCTAAGCAGTTGACGTGAATTAACTCGTAAAGTCCTCAAACAACCATTTGAACAACTTCAAATTAATATTGAAGTTAATATTACTATTCAAATTTTGGAAATAAGGAAAGTGAGGCTCAGAAAGGTTAAATAAATAACTTGCTCTGACTCAGACATCTCACAAATGACAGGCCCAGGCAGTCTGCCTCTGTTTTTTATTGAAGTATATAGTTGATTTACAATATTGTGTTAATTTCTGGTGTACAGCAAAGTGATTCAGTTATGCATATGTATACATGTCTTTCATATTCTTTTCCAATATGGTTTATTACAGGATATTGAGTATAGTTCCTTGTGCTGTACAGCAGGACCTTGTTTTTTATCTATTTTGTATAGAGTAGTTATCTGCTCATCCCAGACTCCTAATTTATCCCTCCCCCATCCTCTTTCCCCTTTGGTAACGGTAAGTTTGTTTTCTGTCTGTGAGTCTGTTTTGTAAATAGGTTCATTTGTATCATATTTTAGAGTCCACGTACAAGTGATAGCATATCGTATTTGTATTCAGGCCATCTGCCTCTAGAACTAAACTTCTGACCGGAATGCTACTCATGGGAGAGGGATTAAGTTTGTCCTCCATGGCACCAACTGATTCAGAGGGTTTAGTGGATGTTTTATATTTTTATAGCACATTTCCAGTAGTAACTTCTCAGACAAACGTCATATTGTCATTAAAACTTTTTTCTTGCAGATATTTTTCTGATTGTAAAATTTGTCATTTTCATTGTAGAAAAATTGGAAAGTCTAAGAAGAGAATGAAAAAGCTTCTATAATCTCACCAAAGATAACCATTGTTAACACTTTGGTGTATTTCTCCCAATCATTTAATACTTTTCTAAATACTTTTCAAGGAAGAAAGTGCCAGTGCTTGCTTTGAGCTCTACTAAGATTCTTTTCACAGAAAAAAAAATTTCTTTTATTTTGATAAATTCTGAGCGTTCCTTTTTTGGCTAGGTTTCTGCCTCAATGCTCAAGCAGTTTCCCAACAGTGGCCTGAATCCAGGTCTTTTCAATGTGGGGCCCCAGTTATCTCCTCAACAAATTGCCATGCTGAGCCAGCTTCCACAGATTCCCCAGTTTCAGTTGGTAAGTAGCAGATTTTCCTCCTGTAGCTGAAAGGTTGTTTGCTTTTTTGTCTCTCTCTCTTTAGCTTTTATTTGCTTCATGTTATGCAAACTATTGAGCATGCTTAATGGTTGGTATATCAGCTCAGCTGGAGGGAAATGTGACCAGTAGACCAGGAGCTTGGTGGTACTTCCCTCGTGGACACTCATTCAGTGCCCAGACCCTTGAGTTTTCTCAGCTAGTCTGTCTTAGGAAAGCTCGATCCTGTCTCTCTCCCTGTTTTGTAGGCATGTCAGCTTCTCCTGCAGCAGCAACAGCAGCAGCAGTTGTTGCAGAACCAGAGGAAGCTTTCCCAGGCTGTGCGCCAGCAGCAGGAGCAGCAGGTGCGTGGGCTCGGGAGGGTCCCTCTAGTGCTCCTTGTGAGGAGTGCGTCTCCGCCCAGCCTCTGACAGCACAAGCAACTTGAGCGCCCTCTTTCCCCACGGGGTTCGCATGCTGGCTCATCGTGGGTCCCTTTTCCCTTGGGCCTCCTCCCCCACAGCTGGCTCGGATGGTGAGTGCACTCCAGCAGCAGCAGCAGCAGCAGCAGCAGCAGAGGCAGCCCAGCATGAAGCATTCGCCGTCTCATCCCGTTGGGCCCAAGCCCCATCTGGACAACATGGTACCCAACGCACTGAATGTGGGGCTCCCAGACCTTCAAACCAAAGGGCCAATACCTGGATATGGTTCTGGTAAGTTGTCTGTAATGAGAACTGCCCGCTGAAAAAGATCTGTCAGTCATGTTCTCATGTTCTAAGCCCAGGGGTTGGACCTGCTTGACCCTGTTTTCACAACAGCCGTGCAAGGTCGGTAAATATTCTTATCCCTCTCATAAAGGTGAGATATCTGGGCTATCGATATCCTGGAGTTTCGGTGGTTTCCTGAAGCTCACCACACAGTTAGCAAACAGCAGAGACAGGCCTCCACCTTCTCCGGGTCCAGAGCAGTCTTCTACTACTTGTGAATGGCAGTCAGCTCTCCCACCACCAGCAACTTTTAAAAGCCAGTCTAAATGTTTGTACATGCTGTGTGTGCCACACGTCAGAGGTTGTAATCTATTAAATTATATGCAAGTTGTGGTGTTTAGTTCTACTGATAGAATTACCTTCTCTTGAAAAGAAATGGGGAACAAAAATTATAAGACAGACTGATAAAATTCTGATATTAGTATTTCATCTGATTTAAATAGAATTAGCACAAGTAAGCTTACACCTTTGACATTCACCAAGAATTTGTTGGCAGGCAAATCATAGCTCTTTGAGAACTGGGGAACATGTTGTAAGCAGAATCCAATCAGTGAGGCAACAGTGATTTAAAAATAAAATTTAAAAATTAAAAAGGTACCACACACCATAGCGAGTTTCTTCTCAAATTGACATTTAGATTTTATTTCAGTAAAGATCATACTATCCTCTACAAACTCAAAAACAAGGGTTTGGGGAGACTTGAAATCCATATTCCTCGGTGACAAAGTGACCCTGGACAAATGGCCCTGCCCTCGGCACCATGTGGTGCCCACTGGGATGGGGTACCCATTTCCTGTGGGGTGTCCACATGCAGAGAAGAGCAAAGAGTCCAAGGACTCCTCGACCCTATATAGTAAAGGGGATTAATTTCCAGATCCTCAAGTTCTACCAACTGTGCTTTTTTTAAAAAACGATTTGCCTGAGAACTTGTAAATTCAATATAAACTGTCTTCCATTTGACATAAAAGAAGGGAAAACTCTCCACCATCCTGTATCATCCTGTATGTGCTTCCTAGCGCATGCTTATCTGGGGTTCCAGGTGAGGAGGAAGCCTCCCATAATGACTAACGAAGGTGCCGTTACCCCCGGGTTTCCAGTCGTCACTGTCTGAATCATGTTTTCTGTTAAGGACGAAGCCTGACGTAAGAACCTGGGTGTGTCGGTGTGTGTCCAGTTCTGAATGTAGACACCACGTGTGATGGTAAAGCAGGGTAACTTTGCTTCTCTTTTTGTCGAAGAATGCATAGTTCTTGAAGTAGAATCCAGTCGTGTAAAGCGAAGAGGGCATCCAGAAGCCACAGCAGCTCTTCCACGTGTTAAAGCACTGAAAGCACAACATCTTTTCAGCCCTTGTCAGTACTCATCCCTAGGGCACGTCTTAGTTGGAAGGAAAAGTACCTTTGAACAGCTCGAGCATAATCGGTTAGTGGGACTGACTCTGAAATAGACGTTTTGACAATGCATCAGGTAAAGCCTGTGGATCAGCCTTTATGTGATTTCCTCTAGAATGACTATGCATTGGTCAGTTCGTTGCTAAAAACCTGAAGTCATGATGTATTTATTCCAGTGATTATAACATCTTTACTATTTTCTGCCCCTTATTAAAAAGTAAAATTATATATTGGCTACAAGTCTGTTCATTTTGAGCAGCATATACCTTCCTCATTTATTAAACATACAGAAAATTTTAATCATGATGTCTTCTTAGATCAACGGTGTTTGTCATTATTACACTTGAGTCTTAATGGCTAAAAGATCAGAGTTCAGTGTATACACATATACATTTACTGAAGAAATGTCATTTTTTTTTATCATATTCCTGTTTCATAAGTAACTTAGAAATTTAGCTATGCATTATAATTCAAATAAGGAAAAAGAACATTGATTTATTAACTTATTTATATTTGATAACTTACTAAACAATGGATAAATTAATTTTATTAGGTCTTTATTATATTGTGATCTGACCATTTATAATCTACTTTACAAGATGCGTTTTGCAGTTTATTTCACAGTTAACAGTTTTCCTCAATTCACATTACCACAATTACTGGAATTGGAAAACTGGGACTGAAAACAAGTCTGATATGGCTGCCTCCTTTGAATAAACTAAATCTATAGCCAGAAGATTTTGAAGAAGATATAGTTAAAGCATATACACAAATAAAAATTTTTCTGAAAAACATAAAGATGTCACAAAATGAATGAATATATCATGAGTATAAATGATGCCGAGTATATCCAACTAAAAAAGATACCTATAGGTGAAAGAGTAGCAAGAAAAATTATAAGTTTCTTAATAAGTCTTGATAAAGACTCTTGGTATATTTTCTCAAAATTAAAAAGTTTAATGACTTTAATGACTGCTTAACTAATCCTTAACTGATTACTTTTATAAAATAGATCGTTTCTCATTCTCTGCTTTTAGCAAAATTGAAAATATATGTAATTGAATTGTCAAGTGATAATGACCTGTCTAAAAATTATGTTTTAGTATCTGATGTTATTGAGCTGAGGGGAAGGGAATATACCTAAAAAGAGATGCAAAGAAATAAGTGATTTTATAACAAGACTCCTCCCTTTTCCATCTACTTATTTATGTAAGATTTCTTAGTGCTTTATGTCTGCAAAAATTTTTTAAAATAGGTATAGTATGAGCTAGATTTCATTCTAGTATTAAGTCATGGTCATTCACAGAAATCAGAACTAATTGAGAAACAAAAGTCACTCATCTTATTGGAAAGTGCATTTCCAATAAAATTTAATTTTTATATTTAAAATTCATCAAAATATGTAATATTTATGTGTGTGATATATCCAGGGAAAAGTAGATTTATTATGAATGTTAGGGATTATTAAAATAGCAGAAAGATAACTTGTATCTATACCAGGATTATGAATGTGTCAGTATCATATGGGCGTGTGTGCATGGATTAAAACAGTTACATTAAATGGGCAGCTGTGGGTGATTTGTTTCTTTTATAATGCATTTTTATTACAATGGTTATAGAAGCAGGAATTTGTTTTTTAAGCTACAACAAAAGTAGTAGCGGAAAATACAGAATTACAGACAAAGAGAGGGAAGGAGTGATTGACTAAGGACAAGCTAATTTGAGAATTTCCTCAAGGAGGAGAGGTCTGGGCCGAGAGGTAGTGATGAATAGACTGATAGTGCTGAGTTGGAGTACGTGGCAAGGAAAGTAATTCTGGCAACGACAGATAAGGTAGCCAGCGGGTTGTATTTGTAAGCATGATAAGGCAGGTAAAAGGGAGGTGCTGGTGAAATGAGGCCCTGGGAAAGCAAGGGGCACGTCTTCTCTCTGTTTGCACCTCATCTCCTAACCCAGAGCCTGGCACAGGTTAGAGTCTCCATAAGTATTCATTGGACTGAATGAGATAGCTTGTTCGATTAGAAGTTCTGTGTCTGTGAGCTGGAGCATCACAGGAGGCCACTGGATGGGCTGAGGAGGTTTGGTTTTTATAACATAGCAGGGACAATAAAGGCCGTATTTTCCTGGATTTGGAGGTGTGATAGCTCTGGAGAAGCCCGCAGTCATGAGTAGAGTGCCCTCTGCTTTCTGTTAAGGTAGCCACCGGAGCACAGTGCTCCAGAATCCTTTCCTTCAGATTTGTTGAGCACATTCTGTGTCCTGAGGTCAGGCTAGTCACTACGTGACATTGAAGAAAGACAACAGAGTTACTTTGCATTGATTTTCCTCTCATAGTTTTGGGTTTGTAGATGAAACCTGTCAAGGCAGTCTTATCTCCTATTCTTTCTGCCCACTTCAATTGTCTTTTCCTTACCAAACCATATGGTGGTGACATTTGTTCCTGAGCTTCTAATGAGAAAGATGCCCACTTCACCTGAGGTTCAAGTGGAGCTGCTCAAAACTCTATTCTTTCCTAAGATTTATAATTCTTACTAATTTTCTACATTTCCTATGTTACAGAAGAACTTCTAAGCAGCTAAAATTGAATAACTTTAATTTCATTGTGAGTTTTAAGAGAAATTTCAGAGCAACTTTACAGAAAATGAATGTATAAGGAATAGTTCCTTATTTTACTAATCTTTACGTTTTTCTTTTTAATCTTCACCAGAATCCTAGGTTATTTTCAAAAGCTCTTTCTCAGTGATTGGAACCAAGCTTTCACATGGCCTGGAATCCAAGCATGTTGGGCTGGTGTTCTGAATCAAATGTAGCGGTATAATTTGCCCAAGGAGCAAACCTGCTTAGGCCACTAAAGCTGTATCAGAGAAGGCCCATGTTCCTTTCAGCCTCCCTGGCCTCCAGTCTCATTTTGTTTTAGTTACACAGGATAAAAGTAGAAAATATCTTACACTCTTCTTTAAAAAAAAAATTTTTTTTCAGTTTGAAATATTTCCAGCTCATTCCAAGGATTCCTGTTCCCCACCCCCGCCCTCTAAGCAATCTCTTGGATTAGTAAAGCCAATTCCAAACATTGTGAAGGGACATTGTTCTTTATATTAATAGCAGCATTTTAAACATAGGTCAAGAAAGGTGTCAGAATGGATTTGAATTTGATTTATTACGCATTTATAAAACTATCCCTGACAATTAAGAGAAGCACAGGGGAGAAAATTGTGACCTGGGCCTTCAGTGGGATTTGGATAAATGGAACTTGAGGGCCAGTAAGACACCACCAGATGGTAGGAGAGTGGGGTGGGCACAGTGTGGAGTCTGGCCTGGCTGGAGCCGCATGCCTGCTGGAGTCAGAGCAGACACCTGCGGACGCCTGAGCCTCGGCGTAGGGGGGACCCTGCTCACCTCCTTGGGGGGCCTGAGTGTGTGTGTTGCTGCTGCTACACTGACTGCAACTTGTTCTCATTTTTCTGTGATTATCATTATTCTTCCCCTCCCTGGTTTCAATTGTTTATTTTAGTCCTTTATTTTACTTTTTTTGAGAGTCAGTTTGGAAAATATTAAGTACGTTGTGACCCAGAGTGGATGGTGGACCCTGTGGGACTCCACCAGCAGGCCCCTCCTGTGTGGTTTTCACCTGTCCAGCCCTGTGCAGTGGGGAAACCTGCTCCAAAACACCCTTGCCTGACATCTGGGGGCACACGGCAGAGTAAACTCTGAATGCCTCACCAGTTGCCTACCCAAGCTTTGGGGTCTTCATCATTGTATAAAAACTTCATTGAAACTGATCTCCCAGGTTCTGTCCTGACCTCCAGCTGTCCCGTTCTCACGCTGTCAGTTCTCTTTGTAAAACACAAACCTGGTTATCTCCCTCTTACTTGCTTTAAAATTTCTTCATCTCCGGTCTAGACTCCTTGGCCTGATACATGCATGACATGACCCTTCATCTCTCCCCTATCTCCTGCCGTTCTCCACCTCACTTCATCCATAGTTTCCTGAACACCCCTGATTATCATCAGTCAGAGCTCTGTACTTGGTTTCCTTGACTTACTGGCCTACCTGCCCTAGGCCCTAGGTCAGATGTCCCTTCTGCTAAGCCTTTCCTCCCCAAGAGACCCTGCCACAACTTCATAGCTGCTGGTACACCACATTGCTTTGATGTGTGGACATCTCTGTCTCAGTTGGAGAACCACTGGCCCCAGCACTCTCTCTGGCTCAGATGTTAGCTAAATGGAAAGTGAATGCACACGTGCCCTGAGATGGTCTTAATTAGATGGCAGTCATACACGTTTTCACACCTGAACAAAGAGTCATCACATTTTTAGCAAGGAAGAGCCAGCACCAGCATTTTGAATCAAAATATCTGTTTCTGAGTGAAGAAACTTCATGTGAATTAGCCTTTAAGTGACAAATGAAGCTATTCATGGGTTCTGCCTCAGAACTCTTGGTTTCTGATACTAGAAACTTATAAAAAGACATAAAACATGTTCTCCATTTTAGGCTTCAGCTCTGGCGGCATGGACTATGGCATGGTTGGTGGGAAGGAGGCTGGAACAGAGTCTCGCTTTAAACAGTGGACCTCCATGATGGAGGGACTGCCCTCTGTAGCCACACAGGAAGCCAGTCTGCACAAAAATGGTAAGAGCAAACAGAGCGTTATGAGTTCCCGCTCCCAGCAGGCCTTGATGGAGGGTCCCACGAACTTAATTTTGAAGCACAGATCTTTATCTTTTTCTTAATGAGTCTCTTGATTCCCCCCACCCCTCAAATCCCCTGATCACCTATGAGAGGAAGATTTGGCTTGCATGTATTTCAAATTATAAGAAACTTAAAGCCCTAGTTCTGATTAAGGGGAGCAGAATTTCCCACCTGCAGGGGGATAGAGGGCATTAGCAGTGAGCTTGAGCCACCCCTTAGGGTAAAACCCTAGTAAATTGGCTGAGAGAACAAAATCAGTTTTTTGGAGGTACAAGAGAGATCACAGCAAATATATATATCATGTTGATTGTCTAAGCTCTAATCTGCAGAAGATGACTAATAGATCAATACATAAGAGCTGAACTTTCCACAAAGCTTTCTTGTCCTTTATGAATCACAGTGTCTGCAAGACAGCAAATTGAGGTCATTGCAGGCATTGGTTATGGATTTGGGTCAGCCCTTCATCTCTATAATTCTCTGCAAGAGCATCTCCATTTCCCTGTAAAACGGATGAAAGGGCTCGGAATCTTCCTTCGGCCTTTGTTTCAATGTTTGTTTCGTTTGACAGTAATGTACTTGGACTCAGCTGTATCCATGAGAACCAAGTATAAATAGGTCTCGGCCTGCTCCTGCGGCGGCTTCCTGGCACTCTCAGCCCCATCAGTCTGGAGCCTTTCAGGTTCCTTTATAAACCACTCTTTAATGTGCCCATCCGGGAGGCTGGTGAAGTGGCCACGTGGAGCGCTCTGCTGTCCCTAAGCACTGTCATGTGATTTCGTGCTACAGAATCAAGAATGATTTATTGAAACTATAAAATTGTTTCTGGACTGAATAATCCAAGCCCAGCAGCATCTATGGCTTGGACACATTTATGCTGCTTCTTTTGGCTGGTAATTCATCAGACCCCCTTGTCCACAAAGACATGAGAGAGTTAAGATTATAAATGCACAGTGGCCTGTGCAGAGCTGACCTGAAGATTACCTTTTACCAACTTGCCTTTTTGGAGCTTCTAGGCAGTGTTTTCTCTATTTCCTTAGCAGTCCCCAAGGTCACTGAGCTTTTCATCTTCTGTTTCCCTGTAATGTGCCCTTAAGTCAGATTTCTCCCAGTGGTCCAGAGAAGCACATGACTTCTTAGCTGAACATGGAGATAATTTTGATACTACTTATGCTAGGCCAAACCAGAGTGTTTTAATCACAAATATTTTACACAAACATTTTAATACATTACCCTGGAAGTAATTTTATATCTGTTCATACACAGCATCCTAAGAGTAGTTTGAGGAACACAATACAGCATGTAAAATTCGTTTGAGAAGTAAGTAGAATGGTATCTTCACAGAGGCCGAAAAGTTTATTTAAAGTAAAACTCATTTTTTGTTAGTTTATGGGAATTACTAAGCTTTCATTTTCCCCTCTGCCTCCCAGCGTATAAAATGCATGAAGAGGGCACCAACAAAACTGCTGGAATGCTCTCAGGGCAGCAGTTACAGAGGGTTTGCTGTTCTTCACGTGTGGGGCCCGGTCTCAGAGCCGTGGAGTCCGCCGCCACTCTCGGGCTGGCAGAGACCCTCGGCGGGGATGCCGCCTCACTGCTCTGGAATGTAAAGCAATCGCAGATGCTTTTCCCTCCAGTGAACTCCGTCTGTTTACTCTGCTTCTTCCAGAGAAGCTGGGCTTGATCAGCACTTAAGAACTTGGGTGGGTAGTGTCAGTAGAAATGTAGTTCAAAACCCTTTTAAGTGCCGCAGATTGTTTAGTATTTTTCCTGTTTCTCATCCTTGAGTCATTAGTGTAAAAACTGTGGGGATGATGGTATGATTCGTAGTTTATGAAAGTTTGGTTAATTTTGTAAGGCCATGGACTTTTAAAACTGAAAGGAACATTCAAGAATGAGAACAGTGCTGTGTGCCTAAGTGAGAAACTGAGAGGCTCAGAAAGGTGCCATGAATTGTTCATGGTTGTCATGCTTATTAATTATGTACTGGCTCTCGAGTGTGACCTCTTAATGCCAAGACTCTTTTACTTTATACACTTCAGGTTCTGTGTTTGAGTTCCTAACAAGTTCTGTTTGTAGGAGTCCTTTCTGGTTACCTTTCTCTTTTCGCAGGCACTATAGTGGCCCCTGGTAAGACCCGAGGAGGGTCACCGTACAACCAGTTTGATATCATCCCGGGTGACACACTGGGTGGCCATACGGGTCCTGCTGGCGATAGCTGGTTACCTGCCAAATCTCCACCAACAAATAAAATCGGAAGTAAATCCAGCAATGCCAGTTGGCCTCCAGGTATCGTCCAGGAAATATTTTCTCTGGGATAGCATTTGTTTTATAATTGTTCACTTCAGGTTCTATTTGCCATGACTTTACTAAGGCACTCACTTTGATTATTTCCATTCAGTAATTGTCTGATAACAGCAGGGCATGGGCTGTGCTGTAGGAAGATAGAAAATTTTCGTTAGAGGAGATGTCTACTCTGTACTGTTCAGTCAGGAAGATAGGTGTGGACACCGATCACCTACAGGGCAAGTCACTGTGTGGTGAATACTGCACAGACACAGCTGAGCCAACGGAGGTCAGTGGAGTGGAGTCTGGGGGTAAAACAAGGTGACTTTGGAGCTGGGACTTGGCCTTCACCTGTGTGAAGGATGTCTTGTAGTGTGTGATCTTCTGAAACGTCCATTGAATTGATCAGTTTATTCATTAAGTGAGCATTTATTACCAAGTCCTAGGTATGCAGTTGTGAATGCAGTGAGAGAATTTGCTATTTTTTCCTCCCTTTTTATTCTGATACAAGTAGTCTATTTTCATTGTAGAAAAAAATTTTTAATTTAGTTAAGCAAAAATAAAAATAAGACGTTTGGTATATGTCCTTCTAAACCTCTTTCTATATAGGTATATTTGTGATACAAATACAGTATCTGTGAAAGTCGGCTCATATAATGCATATTGTTCATAAATGCTCCATACTGTTCTTCCTCATCATCATTAGGAAAATAAGAGTTTATTAATTCTAGCACGTAGCCTTAAATATGATTTAAATTAACCACTAAAAATTGGAAATGCTTATACATACATATTCTAGGCTTTCTCATGATGAGACACATTATTCCCGCTGGTTGTCCCTGACAGTCCATGTAGTAGTTAGCGGTCATTTGTATTCCATCCGAGCCAGTTTCCAGTGAGATAAGTGGGAGAAGTATGTCATCTCCAATTCAGATTTTCTCCCAGTGCTTGTCCTAGATGCCTGGACAGTTCTCCTGAGCACCACACTACTTAATCCTGCCTCCCTGCCCCCAGGCCTGAGTTCCCCTGGGAGCAGGAAGAGCAAGCACTGGGGCCAGACCCCAGTCATCTCTGGAATCAAGTTCACAACCACTGAGACAGACACAGAGAGGGAAGCGCTGTTGGCAAAGTGTATGTCAGGCCAGCTTCTTGTTGTTGTTAAATGATGAAAATCCAAGCTAAAATAGATTCAGAATTCAAGACACTACACAGATCTGTTTCTTGTATCAGAAAATTACCATGTTTTGAACAACTTCTACCTGTAATATTTGTTCTCCTTGTCTCAGAATTCCAACCAGGAGTGCCATGGAAAGGTATCCAAAACATTGACCCTGAATCTGACCCCTATGTCACCCCAGGAAGTGTGCTGGGGGGTACAGCCACATCTCCCATTGTAGATACTGACCACCAACTTCTGCGGGATAACACCACAGGTAAACAAGTGAGGTACCCCTGTGCTCATTCAGCACCCAGCATTTTCACATTTGTCTGTCTGCAGCTTCTTTTCTACTTGCTAGTATCTAATAGTTTAACCAGAAAACAAAAGAATTTGTAGCTTTTCATATTTATTTTTTAGATACAGTTCTTCCTTCTATTGAAGGTTAAATAAAGTATTTCAAGATTTCACTAGTTACACTGACATTTACCTGCAATATTTCTGTCTCATTCTTCATTTGTCATCCAAAGGGTCTAATTCTTCCCTCAACACCTCGCTGCCTTCACCTGGTGCCTGGCCCTACAGTGCCTCTGACAACTCCTTTACCAACGTTCATAGCACTTCAGGTATGAGTGTGACCTATTTGTTTCCCTTTGGCTAGTGTTTTCCCATCAGGTTGCCTTTTACTAAGGAAATCAGCATTTATTTCTTACAGAATACCTTTATAGCGGTTGAACAGCATAGGTCAGCATAGGTGGAGGCGCACCTCTTGTATTGGCCATGTCCTTGGGGGAGCTTCCAGTCTCACGGAGGCAGGATGAGACGAGTGCAGCTTTAGGACCAAAGCAGATGGTGACATAATTGCATGGAGCTATGGGTGTTGAAAGGGCAGAGGTTGTATCCTGATGACACAAGTGCTTTCCTTTTAACCAGTCTGCCAACAAAACCGAGGGCCATGGGAGGAACCAGTTAAGTCCAGGTTGTTATTCCTAAGGTAGCCAGTTACAGCTTGCTTTTCTCTAAAACTCCTTCCACTTATGGACAAAGGCTAAGGGCAGTTGGCCAAGGGAGAGAGAGAGAGGGAGAAGAAAAGAGGACCTAGATTAATTAATTCTACCAGCAACATTTGCTGAGTTCCTTATGTTTCTTTTTTTTTTAAGACAATAGGAAATGGAAAACTTAGTGGATATAATAAAACCTTTAAAGTCATTTAATGAACACAGTACAGTGCCTTATAGATTGGTAGACCAGTCATCAGTAGTTAGCACCTTGGTCTTGCAAAAGTTAGACCTTAAGACATTGAAGTCATTAAGGCTTCTTCCCTCTGTCCAGGCAAATGCTAATAAAACCAGTTCTTACCTACCTACTAAGAAACTGCAGGTTAATGTCCTCACAAATGATCTTTCTTGTCCAGCTCTGTGTCATATTAACAGTATAACAGTAGCCTCAATTATTTATTGAATCCTCTTGCAGACCAGGCAGCATGCTAAGCCTTCAGCATGACATCTACCTTCCCTTCACTTAAGTGTAGGGGGAGGTCCTGCTGCTGTTACCCCATTTTGTAGGTGAAAAACTGAGATTGAAAGAGCTGATATGATTTGCCTCAGGTCTGAGTGCGTGTGTAAAGGAGCCAACTCCATATTCCATGTTTCTAACCACCACCCACATTATCTTATAGGACTTCTTCCTTCACATGTAAAAACTCATTTTCACCTTAATTTCCTCTAACTGCCCACGCCTCTATCTTACCTGTTTTATCTTTCGTTTACAATTGGACAGTCATCTGAGACACATGACCCAAGAATCACCCCAGACTTGTCTAAAACTGAAAACATACCTTCCCACCCCCAAAATTGTCTTTTTTCCTTAATTAAACTCTTTTTCTTAATGATACTCCCAAACGTCACTTAGTCACAGCATGTGCCTCCCCTCTCTCCCCTTCCCTCGCTCTTCTCTCTCGCCCTCGCTCACCAGGTCTGGGCAAGGACAACATCTTCCACACGGTTTCCTCTGCAGTCTTCTCTGTCATATCCCTTTCTTCTCCTCCATTCTCTTTGCTGTCACCTAAGTTTTGGCCCTAATTTAAACACTGCCAGTCGAATCTACTACATAATCTCCTGGTAGTCTTAAATAGCCCCCAGCTGACCTTTATGACCTTTCTGCCCCTGTGAAATATCGTTTAGCCAAAATTGGGGAAAAAACATACTTGGTACAGAGAGAGTTTAGGATGAATCTTGGTTTATATTTTTCTGTCTCTCTGAGTCCATCCATTTACATAAATTCTACAAGACTTGTTTTGGCAGAGTCATTGCTGAAGGCCCAGCATTGTCTTTCTCCTCTGGGTGTTGAACATATATGATGTTGCCTGGGGTTACCAATTCTGTTGTTCATCTGTTCTCTTTTCCCATCTGAACTCGAAGTTCTTGAGAATAAATGTTTATATTACCCACAGCACTGATTCAGTGCCTTAAAACACAGTAAGCCCTTAGTGAATACTTGTTGATTGTATTTTAAATATCTGTTTGAATGCTGGTATCTAATTCTGGATCAAGAAAAGTATAACTTTTAATGTACTTTCCAGTTAATCAATAAGTATAGAATAAATACTTAAGTAGGGTTCACATTCTCCTGTATCTGTAAGACTTACGGCTTTAAGAATACTTTTGAATTTTTCTTCCCTTTCAGGTTGTGTTTAGCTAAGAAAGCAATAGAGAATTAGTTATCTTATTAACTCTTTAGCTCATGTGTTAATTTGTCAATTCAGACTAATAGTCATTGAAAATTTTATTATCTGATCAGCTCAAAGAACAGTAGTATTTGGTATTGCTACTTACTACTTTTCACTTACTATTTTTAGAATATAAATGTGGTTGTATTTATGTGTGGGTGTGAGTATGTACAAGATGTATGTGTATTTGTTGACAAAAGTAGCCTATCTAACCTTATTTCCTGCTTAATTTTCTCTTCTTACAGCAAAGTTCCCTGATTACAAATCAACATGGTCCCCAGATCCCATAGGACACAACCCCACTCATCTCTCCAACAAGATGTGGAAAAACCATATTTCCTCAAGGAACACTACACCGCTGCCCCGCCCACCTCCCGGTCTGACCAACCCCAAACCGTCATCTCCCTGGAGCAGTACCGCACCCCGCTCCGTCAGGGGGTGGGGGACACAGGACTCACGGCTTGCCTCGGGTGAGAAGGATCTGCCTAAAGCAGCATCATTGTTCTGGCACAAGGGGCTTACGTTCACCCAAATGTTGGAGACATGATGAAGTCTTCACAAGAAAGGAATCGCGGCTGTCTGGCAGAGGGAAAAGTATCTCTTGAGTGGAAAATTGAAGTCAGTGTAAGGCAAGGGGACCCAAGACCTCCTGAGGTACCAACGGAGTAAAAATAATGCTCAGGAGAGTGAAAACCCTCGGAGGAAAAAGGTGGTCTTGCAAGTGAGGCAGGAGAGTGCTTGGGGTCAGGTCCAGGAGAAGGGAGCTGGCTGTTCAGTGACAAGAAAAGGAAGGTCAGTGAGGTGGAAGAGAAAGTGACGTGTAACAGGGGAGAAGAAACATGAGGGCTCCGTGACAGCATCTGTCTTGTGGCTTCCTTCAGTTTTTGATTGCACTTCCTTTTCTTTTTTTCTGGTCACTTATAGCCTCTACCTGGAGTGATGGTGGTTCGGTTCGTCCTAGTTACTGGCTGGTTCTTCACAATCTCACTCCGCAGGTAATCATGCTTTCTTGGGATTTTCAAGATGGGACCTGGCTGAATGAAGGGAGGGAAGCTTGGAGGTGCGGAAGGCCAGCTGATAGGAAAGCTCCTTATTTCCGGGTCACGGCAGAGAGATCCAGCCTGTGGGGCTGAGGCTCCCCAGCCAGGGCTTGCAGCCTGTTTTTGAGTGGAGAGGTGTTGGCCACTCAGCCTCATGCCTGCCTTCATGGTGGTGTTAACACACGTAGTTTGTAAAATAGTGAAAAGTGGGGTGGTGTTACCTGATGTTACAGTAGCAGAGATAATTTGTTGTGTGGATCTGCCTGTCGAGAGTCTGGAATCAAGTGGGAAAGGGATGTTTAAGTGTTTTAACCACGTACAAGAAAATTACCTGTTCTTGTGTCATTCATTTAGCAGGAATTGAGGCACACTGTAAAAATAAATAAATAAAAATAGCCATTTTTATGCTTCATACATTCGTCATTTACCATCTATCTCTGCAGTAGAAGAAATGTGTCCGTTTCACAGCCTAATAAATGCCCCAGGTGTGCTGTGAATTTCCCAACTCTTATCCTCTTCTGTGCAGACGGCATCGCTGATTTGCTCTCATTAGAACGTGCACTCGGGTTATTTTTACAGCGGTGGAGCTTCATTTGCACCAAACCACCCTCCCTTTCACTCTATTTGCCTGATAACTGACATATTTATTGGCGGCAGCAGCATTATTTTGAGCACTTTAGTGAACTCAAACCAACCCTTTGAAACTGAGCCCATGACCTTCTTGTGGGCCTGACAGCACGAACTTTACAACACCTTGTTAAAAGGAGTCAATTATGCCTCCCTCCCTTTGACACATAGAATGAATTGTCTAGCATTTAATTTGCAAATGGATTCATGCACACTTTTCTAAGCCAGCATTTTCCAGAGTGTTCGCTTGGGATATTAATAGGTCTCTGGCCTAATATGTTTAGAATATATACTTGATTAAGCAAAATTAGGCAGGTGTCTTCACTATGAGGCTTCTTAGACCCTTTAATATGCTGACACATATTATGATCCTCTGTGGGGAAATACAGATTCTCCTACATTTATTTGCGCTGTGAACCTGTTTGTGGAGAGTAACTTGGGGGCTCGTATTTCAAGGTACATGTTAAGAAAGACAGTTTTCTAAATGCAGTTAACATGAGGAACAGTCTGGATCAGCTCTTAATCTCCATTATGTCATCGGCTGCGCTGAAAGCCCCAGGTTATTTATTTAGCTAATGGTTGACTGAAATATGAACATTTTATATTAACCATCCTCAAAACTATATATGCCTCGTTATTCTTAAGTTGTCACACAGCGTGGTGGGTACCGTATGGTTAGGATGAGAGAAACAGTGTTGAAAGGAACCTGGTTAGGCTGGCCAGCTGTTCACCTCTGTCTTCTCATGAAAAATAGTAAGTGCGTTTGTATATGTGTATAAAGTGAATATAGGGCTTGGCTATGTTTGTATTAGAAAGAATTAAGTTTAATTTTAATTTTAAAATTAATTAATTTCAAAAATCAAAACCACCTAATAACAGACTAACCTCAAGCATAGCTTAAAAGAAGGTTATAAGGGCAGATCTTTGGTACTGGATAAATTGACTTGTTGTCACCTACAGTTTGTTTAGGGGACATTTATCCTGAAAAATCACTTGTGGCGTACACTGACAAGCTTATGTTGTCAATTGTCATTTATAAAACAGTGCTCTGAGCTATTTCTCCAATCATTCATTCTCTATAAAGAACCACGGTGAAACTGCTGGTTTTCATTCTTCAGGGTTTCCATGGTAAAACCACAGAACGTTTCCACTGCTGCTGCCAGTAGCATATCTATTTTTTTGTGTGTGTTTTTTTTTTTAACTGAAGTGTAGTTGATTTACAGTGTTAGCTTCAGGTATACAGCAAAGCGATTCAGCTATAGATATGCATAGTTTTTTTCAGATTCTTTTCTGTTATGTTTTATTACAAGAAATTGAATATAGTTCTCTGCATAGCACAACTTTTTAAAGCTATTCCAATAGTAGTGTTTCCCTTCCCAAAAATGAACTGAAATGTTGAATTGACAGCCTCAGTAAACCTAGTTAAGATCTTGATGTAAATAAATTAACCAGAGCGAATAAGCAGAATTGTTCATCTGAGTGGTAGGTGAAGGAGGCCAGCCCTGGTCACTGAGCATCCTGATGGTGAGAGTTTGACTCAGGTGAGCAACTGTAACCTTTGGTCATGTTGGCTGAGGGCAGCAGAGGGCACAGAGAAGTAGGTGGGAAAAGAGCCTCATGCTAAGAGGGTCAGAGTAGGAGGAAGACGTCGGAGTAGCGCGTGGGCTGGGTCAGCCATCAGCGTTCTGCATCGTTAGATGGTTAGCAGCGCCTTTCTGGTTTGTGTCTTTCTCTTCAGCTCTTTGTGAGATCAGAAGAAGATTACATTAATAATGATGCTGAGAACCTTGCATGTTTTCTTAAGTTCTTACTTGGTTACCATCTTATTTCTGCCTTTTAAGGCTCTACCAATTGGTACAGGTTCACTTGTTTACCTCTTAAGTAAAAAAGACTACAGGTTGAACCATATACTTTTGAGCTGTATGTATGCAAAGTTTTTTATCTGTAAAAAGGGCATGTTAGATCTGAGCCCAGTGTTTTGAATAGCTTAAGATTTACCTTTAAGACCTCTGTAAGGGAGCAGGGTATATAGCTCAGTGGTAGAGTAAGTGCTTAGCATGCACAAGGTCCTGGGTTCAATTCCCAGTACTTCCCTTAAAAAAATACAAACAAGCAAACAATCCTAGTTACTTCCCCCAGCCCCTGCCTCCTCCCCAAAAAGAGCTCTGTATTCAATGCACTCTTTCCCTGCCTCAAGTTCCTCATTCATGTCTCCAAGACTTACTTAGTTCTGATACTAATATTTATAAACTGGAAGTCCTTCTCATCTTCAAATACAAGAAGGGTCACTTGCCTTCCTTTCCCACCCCATCTCCAGTTTCTATCTCATGAATGTCATTACTCCTTAGATTGATGGGTCAACCTTGAGAACCATCTGCATGCAGCATGGCCCACTGCTGACATTCCATCTGAACCTAACCCAGGGCACTGCCCTGATCCGATACAGCACCAAACAGGAGGCAGCCAAGGCCCAAACTGCACTGCACATGTGAGTACCCACCTTACACTCCCTGAGACAAACACACGTGAGGAGGCACGTGAGTATTTGGGCACCTGCTTAATTAAGATGCACAAGAACACGCCCACAAATGGTGTCAGCACGTAAGCAGTTGCTTGAGTACGGAGGTGGCTGATCTCTTCTATCTGTGTAAGCATGAATTGTCCTGTGTGTGTGTGTGATAATCAGAATTCCAAAAGTGATGAGTTTAAAGCAGTAAGTCTTTAGTATTGTAAAAACAAAGCCAATATTTACGCAAATGTGAAGCCCTGTAAGTGCTGTCCCTTTTCCTTATAGAACCTAGCTGCTTACTTGGGCCTATTGTGGGTGGTGGTGAAATATGATGGTCTCAGTGGGTAGCAGGGGTTCCACCCAGAGTAGATGGGACTGGATCAGACTGTGACAATCCTCATCCCTGCCACTGTCAAGCTGGTGTGAACAGGAAAGAACTGACTCCCTGTGGCTGCAGATGCCATGACAGAAAGGTACCCAGAGAACAAGCAAGTGATGGTGCGCCTCCGGCAGTGAGCCAGCCCCGAGACAAAGCAGCACTTCTCATGTCTGAAGCTGGGTCACCTTGATGCTTGGAGTGTGACCTTTTACCCCCAAGGGGAAAAAAGAGATGACATTTTACTCGACATGGAAATTCCATATTCCGAGGGAAACTGATACATAGTATCCTCCAGTAGTCTTGGGATATCTTGAGAGTTGGTGATGCCTACGTGCTCTAAATCAGTACTTCTCAGTCACTGGTGGTCCAGTTAGAATGCAGGTTCTGATGCTGTGATTCTGAAAAGCATCCAGGAGATACAGAAGCTACTAGTCGAAGTACCACACTTTTGAGTAGTGAGGACTCAAACACTCAGTCCCTAAGCCTGCTTTAGGACTTTCTTCAAATCCATGGTTCTTTCCCTCCCCTTTTTTCCAGGTGTGTGTTGGGAAACACTACCATCCTGGCTGAGTTTGCCACCGATGACGAAGTTAGCCGCTTTCTGGCACAAGCTCAGCCCCCTACACCTGCGGCAACGCCGAATGCGCCCGCGGCGGGTTGGCAGTCCCTGGAGACCGGCCAGACCCAGCCGGACCCTGTCGGGCCTGCCCTGAATCTGTTTGGTGGGTCCACAGGGCTCGGGCAGTGGAGCAGCAGTGCTGGTGGCAGCAGCGGGGCCGACCTTGCTGGCGCTTCGTTGTGGGGGCCCCCAAACTATTCTTCTAGCTTGTGGGGAGTCCCAACTGTGGAAGATCCCCATAGGATGGGCAGCCCTGCTCCTTTACTACCTGGTGACCTTCTGGGAGGAGGGTCGGATTCAATCTGAACTTAGAACTTTCAACTCTGACCTCGTGACCTTTTTTGGAACAGCAGCAGCACTAACTTGACCTTTTCGTTTTTTTTTCAACTTGCAATAAATACATTTTTAAAAGGAAAAAAGAAAACGGAGAGAGAAAAAAGGTGGGTCATTGACAGACTGTCTGAGCACATAGTTGCCTCCCTTATAACTTCAGTTTTTCGTTTGGAATATGAATCCAAAAAGAGAACATATCACTCTTGAAATACTTGAATCATGAACGCCAACCTAGAAAGACAATGTGAAGCAAGTACACATACCATTTAAATTTAAACACAAAAAAATTAAAAAAATTAGTTTCTAGTTTTTCACTTTTTTCATGTTATATGGAAGTTGTTGCTAAGAAACATATATACTGAAAAAAATAGCTTTTTAACTTTGTTTGCACTGGGTGTGTTTCCGTCCTTAGGTCTACCATGTTTGGGAGGGAGGGGAATTCAAAAGAATTGTTGGGGTGGGGGGAGGGAAGACTTGACGGAGCCTCACTTTAAAAAACAAAAACACAAAAAAACCTAAAAAAAAAAAAAGGAAAAAATTTGTGATTGGCTGGTTGATAAATACCAGTGTGTTCTGGCACATGTAACTGCCCAGGCATGCTCGTTCTGGTATGTGTGTGCACGTGTGTTCATGTGCATTCGCGTGCATCCTGCTCTCTGTCTCTGTGTGTGTGTGCCCGTGTCCTCCTCCTCTTCCCCGCCCCGATTTCTCAGAAAGCTGCATTGCTGACAGTCCGCAGGCTGGCTGGCCGGCCATCTGCTTTTTATTTTTATTTTATTATTTTTTTTATCTATGAGAACACAGGAGCATGGGGAGCCACTGCTACGAAAGCAACCCCGTTGGGCTGTCTGGAGGTGAACAGAGTGCTTTTTAATGATGAAAGCAGGGAGCTCCTTTACATTTGCAAAGTAGCCTGAGTGTGAGTTTTCTGTAGCTTTTCTTTTGACCTAGCAGTAGAGTGGAGCACTGCCACGTCCCAAAAATTAGGAGAGCAGGAGGTACCTCTTGGAGCAACTGTGTGTTTACTTATTTCTGTGTTTTAAAGTAAGTGGTGGCCGCTAGGCACATCTGAATACCTGTCCAGTTTCATGCTGGCCTTTTTGTTAGTTTGAATGGGAACAGATGACAAGATAGTTTCTAATGATGTGGTGTTTCAAAAGCAGAAAAATCGCGTTCCCCCTTTCTTGTGTAATCAGGTATGAGAAATTCATCAGAAAGTCAGGTAATGCTGAATTAAAATTTTCTATTGGTTCTCTTTTTCATTTTCTGGAAACAGAAAAAGCTAAGTGTTGAGCAGCCTCCTGAAAGCACCTGCAGCCCCTCCCTCTCTGCTCCTCTCTTGCTGAGCGTTACCTGTGCCAGGCCATGGCGTGTTACAGCACCAGGCCATCACTGACAGAAACGTTTACTTAACGAATGTTCTTAAACCAGTGTGTACTTCAAGCGTTTCCTTTTGTTTCTCTGTGTTGTGTATTTCCTGTGTATGTGGTTTTGCTTAGGCAGGTATAACTTAGCAAAGACTTTTAAGTATTGCACCTTTTTTTGGTTTTGACCCCCACCCCCTGTTTTTTTTCCTTGTAATGTTGCTTTTTTAATTTCGGTATTTAAAGACTTTTTGTTGTTGTTTTAAGCATCAATGTAGTAGTACTCTGGGCCGAATAGGGGGCAACTTTTAATCCACAGTTATCACCAACATGTATGTACTTATGTTGGAATCAAAATGTATCAAACTGCTTTTTGTGAAGAGTTACAGCAGACCTGAAGGGGTACCCCTTTATACAAAGCAGATGGCTGGCGGGGCGGGTGGGGGGTGGGGGGGAACGTATGCCGGTAACGTGCTAGCACTTGTGTGGACGTCCCAGTCTGCATTATACTGTTTAACATAAAGTGCCGACATTCTGTACCAGCAAATACCTGCCCATTCCAACCCTTGGTGGGAGCAGACCTCTACTGTCCTCCGTAACTTGCTGCTAGTGAGGACAAGGGAGTTTTTCTTTCTTTAGCATCTTCAGTGAAGGATACAACAATGCCTAATACATTTGACTTTTAGCTTGTGTTGTGTGGAGGTGGGTGGGTGGGTGTGTATAGGGAAAGGCAAAAACGAATTATTTGCATTTAAGTGGTTTTGTGAGACAATGGGAATTCTATAGTCCTCTCGGCTTACCCTGTTGATGATAAACCTAGCCTCAAAAGAGATTGACGTGCATAATTCAAGTGAGCGTTTGCTCACGTAAGTCTTTGTGTGAACCCTTTGTGGGTAGGTGGTCAAACTTGAGTTTCCAGCGTTGGTTTGGTCCCATTAGATGCCTTGTAGCAAACTAACTGTGCCCTCCGGCTTCATCACCACCATGCTCGTTCCACCTCTGCCCATGTACAAAATGTCTCCTTCCAACCCCCATGGACTGCTCTCTGCAAGGGGGCATGAACCCTGTCATGTGTGGTGACCTCCACATGGAGAGCCGCGGTGTCAGACATCTACAGAAGGCGAAATCTCAGTGTCCCTGGGCCAGGAGCATGGCCCGCGGCTCCCTCGAGCCAGTGGTGACCCTCTCCACTGGCGCGGCAGGCTCCCTGCCGTGTCCTGCCCCACCCTCCCCCTTCCTGCCTGTTGGTTCCTTGACCTGCACTATCGGTTAGTTGAGGTCCTTATGATACTACGGTGAAAGCCGGGTGCTAGAGCCCCTCTTGTTTACAAGACATAATGAGGGATTTGAAATATGTAAAAATAAACATGAGAAGCTAAAATGTTCTTCCATCATAAGCTTAAAGGGAAAAAAATCAAAAACTTAAAAAAAGACCAAAAAGTGCGTATATATATACATATAAATATATATTTTAGATGAAGACTAACTCTGGGAGCATTTAACAGTGTTTTTTGTTTTTGTTTTTAACATTTATTTTCCTGCTTTAAAATTTGCAAGCATTCTCAGGAATTCTAGGGTAGGAAGCCAGTTTTTGGAAGATGGTTTATTTAACCGTATCTTATCCTAGATAGACGGCTGTTTCTTTCCTGTTAATAAACTTTTACAAGTTCCTGAAACTTCAAAAAGTTTAAGCAATTTTTACTTACGAAATATGTAAAAAGAAAAGTCTCCAAACGTTATTGTCATACTGGGGATCACACGTTTTAAAACACGTAGAAAGAAATATTTTTTAAAAATTATCAATTTAGCAGCAACAGGTAAATTCACTATCTTAAAAAATATGGGAGAAGGATTAAGCTTTATAAGAGCTCTATCATGGATTCATTTGAAATTGTGTATAATTTAACGGGAGAGTGTTTGGTGTATATAAATGGGAATGCCATCACTTTATTCCTTTCCATTTAAGACTGAACCCAAATCTCCCCTAGGAACTTTTGTTTTTATTTTTTTAAAGGAACCTTTCTCCCTGTCTCTCCAACCCCAGCAACAAAAGAAAGGAAGAGAAAGAAACAACAGCTAAAAAATAGTAAAAAGTAACTCTAATCTGTAACATAGTACGGTTGGATTGCTGAGAATCTATGTAAAGAGTTAGGAAATATAGGTTAATAATTTTTGAAACAAATTTTAAATGTAGGCATTACTAGAGGACAAATATCTATGGACTGTTCTATTAATGAAGAATGTCTGTCTTACCTCCGTCTGTGATAGGGAGGAGGAGAAAATAGTAGAAGAATCTAATAAGGAACAAGTGATTTTACTTTTTTAGCTCCCAGCTACTGTTGTGCTCATTTTAATTGCTGTTTTGAAGATCTGCTGCTTAATTATCCCCATCCCTCAGCCGGAGGTGTGGAGTATTTCCTTTCAGTTTTTGGTGATGTCGAATTCTCCTTTTGTATTCCCTCCTGGGGCCAGGGGTTAGAATTCCCAAACATGACCACAGCTTCTTTTAAACATCTGAGCTTCCCAGTGGGGAAGAGACTCCAGCTCGATAGGTGAAGGGAGCGGGTGGGGTTGCTGCCTGCAATTTCTTTAAAACCGCTTTAGTGCCTTCGTACATACACCCAGACATCCTACGCAGGGGGAACGCGCGTGTATGTGCTTGTGGTCCAGTCGCTCCACAGACAGTAAGATGCTGGCCCATTATGGAAGTCGGAGTAGTTCTGGACAGGTTCTGGACAGCCCAGAGACAGTGGTCTACATTTAAAATAAACAAACAGAAGTCAAGGAAGTTAAGTACGCTTTTATGTCTTGAGCATGTGGAACGCCAAGCTCCTTCCCTGCGCTGTTCCCCTCCGCTACTGTGTGCATTTGCAGTGACTTGGAAAGTGTCTTTGTGTCAGGCCAATAGAAAGGGGTTCCTATTTCTCTACTCTTGTCCTTTGTCGGCTCCCTTTCCCTCAACCCCCTTTTTCTCGTCAAGTTGCCGGAAGCTTTGCTTTATTGGTTGGCAGTGACCTAAGAACAGGATATAGTGAGGATGTAATGGAAGAGAAAAACTTTCCCTTCCTCTGTATTCTTTGGCAAGAGCCATGTCTGCTGAGAGAGTAGGTGGCTTCAATACACTTAGAAAATCCGGTGGGAGTATCTTCTCTTCCACCACATTCTGGCGTGTGTACAGGGCTTGCCGGTCACCTCTCATTTACGGAGGTTTTCTTTATAAACGCTTGGATCATGTGAATTTGAGCTTTCCAATTTTTAACAGTTTTTCTGTGTTGTTGTTTTTTTTTTTAAACACTTGATTACTAGTGGCTAGGAGTATCCATCTCTCAGACATCGCAAACTTGGTTTCTGTCTACCACATCAGCAGCCAAAGAAAAGAAGCACTAGTAGGGAAAGGGATGTCTTCCATCAGACCGGGGACCTCTGCTGGCAGCTGAGATCCAGTGCCATGACCTGATTTTCGGTGTTCAAAAAATACAGATCTCCGAGACACTGTGAAGAAATGAGTGGCCCACGTGGCATCTCTGATCCCTCAGTCCCTAGCCTGTTTTTCAGTACAACGTGCACAGAAGTTAACTTAACAGTGCTGCAAGTCAAGGTTCCAAACCAAAATTTTTTTTATCAGTGTCCCCCCACAGTAAATCAGCATTACGCATTGATTGCCATTCAATCAATTTTATTTATAGCAGCTTGATTTTCTATTACTGTGGCTCCTGATCTAAAAACTTTCCCACCTCTTCTGACATGAATGTAGCATAAATTAGCAACTGGCTCTTCCAAGTTCCTGTGGGTTTAGTGTGATGTATAAAACATGCAAAAAAGAAAAGAAAGAAAAAAGAAAGGAATAAAAAGAAATTGCTAAGAATTTGGAAGAGCTGTTGTAATATATCTAGCAGAAACTAGAATTTCACAGGCTATTAACTGGTTGCAAATATTCACTCTCACTCTCACCACTTTTTTGGGAGTGGGAGGGGGAGACAGTTTTTGTAAGGTTAACAGCCAGATTCCACATTGACCTCAGATGCTGTGTACTTTCTAGTTTTATTTTTTATATTCTGCCATCTGCCATCTTGACTCTTCTCTCAAACAGAATGAAGATGTCTGTGAGCTGAGCAAAACGCTTAGGCCAAGCCTGTTCTCCTTTGCGGTGTAAACAGGATGTTTTCCTCGGATTTGGCTGTAAGAGCCATCTCCCAGATTAGGGAACAATTGAGTCTTTACGTTGAAAAGGTCCCCTTCTCCCCCATCCCCAGAGTTCACATTCAACATGTAACACGCTGTAGGTTACTGTTTTGAGTTTTTGGGTTTTTTTCCTTTTGTTTTGATTATGTATAAAGTCCTTAGGAGTAGAGATACATTTTTAGCTGGTTTAAAAAAAAAATCAAAACTTTTTCTTCCCCAGTGTGTTGCCAAGTTTTATCAGACTTCATGACTATGCATTAATGACACTTCTTAGTGTTACTACAAAAAGAAGTCTTGTTCTTTAATTGCTTTCCCTCCCGTGAACGTACAGCTGAGGCTGCGTGCGACAGTCCAGATGAAAACAGTCTAGCCCGTGTGCACCAGTGAATTGTCAATCTTTAGACCTCAGCAGTCAGAAAACGGGGTGCCGTTTGCATACTGCGCCACACCCCCTCTGCATTCTTACCCACAAGCACAGGGTGTCCACATGGTCTAGAAACAGGCAAGTGTATAAAATGTTGTCAAGGACTTCATCATCATCATGAGTCTATTAAAAAACAGGATATGGTATGTATTTCCAGAGCTAGTGCACACCCTGTGACAAGGCCAGTGCCAAAGGTGTGTGTGTTTTCAGAGATGGTCCCCAGTTGTCAATGGTGATGTTGTTTTCTTGACCTTAAATCTGATAAGGGAGGTACTGGCATCGCATTCTTTATTTGAAATAATTATCAACTTCAAGAATCTCTTAACACAGTTAACAATGTAATAAAAATTGAACAATAACCCTCTCCATCCTGCCCACCTTGCCTCCCCCTGCTTGCTCACAAGCATCTGCAGGACGGTGAAGGGTGCACAGTCAGGACACAGGGCTCCTTCCCGCCCCACCCCGGCTGGGCTTCTCTGCTCCCCTCAGGCCGGGTCTCAGACTACATCTGGAGGAATCACCCAGTATTCAAACATCTGAGTAGTTCTTTAACTGTCAGTCTCCTGTAGTAACCTCCTACCACGACCGAAATAAGAACAGTAAAAGCGATTGAAACTGCCAGTGTTTGCCTCACAGAATTTAAATCGTTTCCCTTCCACTTAGCTATACACCTGAACTTGTTTTTAATGACAACTGTGCACACCAGGAAAGATGGTTCTGCCCTGACCAAAAGGTCTCTGCAAGATTCAGTCGTTGGTTCTTCATTGTGACAAACACTTGTTTTGTTCATGGGAGGAGAAAGGTCAGATAAAGGCAAGAAGTGTTGTTTTAAGTTAAAAGGAAATAGTGTTTCGCTAAAGCACTTTGTGCCTCAATTTCATTTTCAAACTATGAATCATTGCTCTGAAAGTAAATTCCCAATTGGAATTGACCAATTTGGAGCCAATATTAATAAGCTGGGATTGTTTTATCAAGAAGTGAGATTCTTCTTTACTGCTCACGGTGAGCAGCAAAAGAGAAACTGTCGAGTAGCTTCCAGTGTCGTGACGCAAAGTGCTTTCCTTCCCTTCCCATCGCCTGCATCCCTGGACCTCTCACCGCCTCTGGGTTCCTTTTCCCCAGGCTCACGAAAAGCGCGCAGTCCTCGGAGGGCTGGGTTGTGAGCAGTGGCGGGAGGGGAGGAGCAGCCTTCCTTCAGGACTCACCCTCCAGCAGAGCTTTATGGAGAGGAAAATAGTGTGTCCTACGTATAAGTTCACCAAAAATGAAAAAGTGGGGGATTTCTACAAAACAAAAACCTTTGGAACCCTTGAAGTTACATACCTTTTAAAGGTAGTATAATTTTTCACCAAGTGATGCGTTCAGCATGACACTTCTTGCCAGAAATTTCAGGATAAGTTAGAATAAATGTGTTTAAAACACCACCCCTACCTACCCCCTTTTTAATTTTGTCCAAGGGAATTGATTACCTAAGTGGTAATATTTCTGAATGTGCCTTTGTGAGTTCAGAGATCGTCTGTTTTAGGAAGAACCTATCCATTGGGATAAAACAGAAAGACGGTCAGCTTAGTCTTTAGGGAAGTCAGCATTTCTCCTGGCCGTCCGCAGGGGCAGCTGTGGAGTGTTCATTAGCATCAATATTGCACAGTGTAGAGTCGGGGGAAGGGGCTCTAGGACTTGGGAGAGGGGGTGATGAGGTGATGGTGCACAGGTGACAGAGACCAGGTTAGTCCAAGAGTGCAGGTGGACCTTTCCTATCTGCATTGCCTAGTTCTCTTCGTGTATATGTGTGTGCGTGCGTGGCTGTGGCTGTTTGAGTTTTCGTCTTTCTGTAAGCACTGGAGAACTGAAATATGGTGATGTTTGTGACACATGCACATTGAGAAGGCTTTTTCCAGCTCCTGCCATGTGCGGAGCAGGCAGCGAATTTCCACCCTTGAGTCTGTGTCCTGGGAAGACGATTCTTTTCCCAAATGGAAGTCATATGATGTTGCTGTTTATGCGAACAGGGTATTACACACAAGGAAAAGGCTTTTGAGAGAATAAGATTGAAGCATTTGAGAAAGAGAAAAATCTGAAATCATATTTTATTTCTTCAGAACGATGATAGTTAAACATAGAAATCTGCAGTGTCTCTTCTTTTGTTTTATGTTTGTTTTAAACAATTCCACCTCTTCTCCCCGCTCCCTATCTTCTAAAGAAATAGCAAGTGAATGCTAAGGGCCATTTCCATAATTCCTCAGAACTCCCCAAAGAGGAAAACAGTCCCTCCACGAGATTCCTTCAGCTTCATTCAGGAAGACACAGGGAGGAGAGATGCTGCAGCTTCCGGGCTTCACTCTCATTCCTCTCTAATGGCCTTGAAATGTATTATTATGCAAATGTGAATTTTGATACTGAATTTAAGAAGAGGTTGTTGGATTTTTCTTTTTTCAAAAAAAAAAGATCCCATATGTGGTCATCATTGCTTCTTTATTTTGTAACGTGAATTGTAACTATGCATTCTGCAAAGAGGGGGGAGGAGAGGGCAGAAAGGGGAAGGAAGTAGCTTTGCATCCTTGTTCTACAGTTTCTGTGTCCATGGTATCCCCCCCCCACGTGCTGGCAGGGAAGGGGAGTGAGAGCAGAGGCAGTAAGGTCGGCACAGTGAGGTAGAACGAGACCTCTGTCCGCCGGCCCACCTGCCGGCCCGGCACAGTCTGGGGGTCCTGCGGTTCTGTCAGCCCGTGTGGTCCCGGAGTCTCCGTCTTAGCCGTGCAGTGTTAACCTGGTGCAGTGGTGGGGCCCCAAAGGCTCCAGTGTTCTCTGGAAAAAAGTACTCGTCCTTTCCTGAATTCAGAACCCTTTCAAGCTCAGGAAACCATGCCTCACTCTGCTGACCTTAATCCTTATGTCAATTTCAAAAAAAGACCTCCTCCTCCTCCTCCTCGCTCCATTTTAATTTTTCTTTCTTCTTTCTTAATCGTTTTTAAGTGAATTGAATTATAAGGAAACTCTCTGGCTCTGTGGGGCAGGAGACTGTTGCTTGATGGTCCTCTTCCCCGTCCACGACCCTCAGCCGCGCGTCAGCTCCCTGCTTCCTTTGCATCTGTGAAGCTGCGTGTAGCTGTGAGCAGTGAGGTGTCCGACCCGGGAGAGCCTGCAGCCTCCTCTTTGTCCTCACAGAAGCGCTTTGCTGATCTTGCCTGTGGTGAGTCGTGGCGCCTGCCCTGCTCTGGTCTAGGCATTATTTGCAACACACAGTATCGTAAGCGAGAGATTGTTCTGCCCACAGTCAGTGTTTCCGTGTGGTGATGTTCACAGTACTGTAACGAGTAACAGACTTGATCACAGTCTCCTCGTGCCCCTGCAAGGCTGCAGAGGCACCATCTTATCAGGGTTCCAATCTGCTAGATTGCCTTTAGACAAAAAAAAAAACAAAACAAAACAAAAAAATGAAATTCTGACGTTTCAACTGTCTAACACAAAACAATACCTCGAGGTACATTTCCCCTGCAGTGTAGACCCTTAACTCCCCTCTCCTTTTCTGACATCAGTGGGTTATCCTTTTAAAAATATGAATGTGTAAATAGCAGGATAACTTTTACAATTTTTTCTTTGCTGTGAAAGTAACCCTAAAATATATTTTCTCCTTTTTTTTTTAAGCCATCATGTTTGAGAGGAGAAAAGCAGAACAGGTCAGGGGAGTGGACTTACATTTGTGGGGTGGTGGTCTCTCCGTTGCCTCCCGTACACAGTGACAGCAGACCAGCGTTTGTACCATTGTGAGTAGGTGCCACCTATTCCGGCTCTAGGTCCAGGGTGGGGAGTGTCTGGATTCCTCTCTTTCAGAAGGTCCGCCACCTCCAGGGACTCCGGAGTTTTCTCTGCCTGAGACCTTGAACTCTCGGCCTTTCTTGGTTCGCACACACACGTAGATGCACGCACACTTTGAGTTACTCAGTCGCATCCTGTAGGTCATAAAGAGAATTAGTCCCTGGCATTTCAATGTTGTGCTTTAGAATTCATAGCCTTGTCAATTTGTGATGCTCCGGAAATGAATTGATTTCTTACTTAGCTGGGAGCTCATCTGAGACAGGCAGACGACCTCCCTGAAAGGCGCGTGCAACCCTCAGATGCTTCTCCCTCCATGAGGCTTGAAGCTGACACTAGGTAGACAGAAAGAAGTTTCACAAGTGCTGCTTGTAGGGACGTGTCAGCTACTGCTCTCTTAGATTCAGGCACCCACGAGGCAGGGTCAGAATGGGTCCTTCTGAACAGCTTCTCCAGCAACCCCCAGCTCCCCCCATCTTAAAGGTAAACCCTGTATCTGTCAAGATGCCCTTTTTTGAGCTCGCTCACCTTGTACAGTGACGATGTCCTTTGAGGGGAAGAAGCATGCTACTAAACACGCGTTCACCGCCCGCCTGCTGATCTGGGCGCCACTGGCCTTCAGGGTTTATTTCTGTTGGTTGTGTGGAGGCCCCTTTTCTGTCCATCTCCTTCTGCTGATCCTTCCTGAGTTCTCCCTGCCCTTCTGTCCCGTACACCGGAGGCTCCCTAAGGGCTTTGCTGGTTTCTGCACTTCTGTCCTGGGACACTCCCCCCACCACCCTTTGCACACACCAGTGACCAAAGTGTGTCCAGTGATCTCACAGAAGACATCAAAAAACGGTGCATGCACCGTGGGTGTGCTCACAGACACGCGCACAGACTCTGCGCCCTTGGCCTTAACCTCAGGATGACTTACGGTGCAGGAACATTTTTAACAGGTTTTAAAAAAATTTAAAAAAATACCCTTCTGGGAGGAAAAAATAAAGCAGACACAACAGCTCAACTGTGCCCACTCCTGACTCTCCACCATTTGCTTACAACTTACTCTGTGCCCACCCCACCCCATCCCTGTTTTGAGTAACCAAAAACAGATAACAGAAGCAACCTGAGGAGAGGTTTCTGGACTATTTTATCTTTCTCCATGTAGATGGAGATATATATGCTGCTTTGGGTTCCATAATCCTAGGGGGCTATGTTTACATAGTAAAATACATCCTACCAAATCAGGAAACTGAGTAAGGAAATCTCTGCAGTCAGAGTTAGGTCTCTGATGGTGAACAAGAGAAGCGAGGGTTCCTGGGGGTGGGGCAGAGGAGGCGAGGCGGAGAAGTACCATCTAATGGCTTGTGACGCGTCGCTCCTTCCTCCTTTCTCCTCCCTTCGCTTCTCTCCTTGCCCCCTTAAAAGAAGGTGCAGAGAAGGGCATCAGAAAGAGGCTGGATCTTTAAAAGGCAGCTTTCCAACTTTGCACACAAACAGGTAACAGGAAGGTACAGCAAAACTCCTCTCATCTGAAACACTGTCAGCAGAAACAAAACCTGTAAACATGACCCAATGGCTGCACATGTTGATGCTCTCTGCAAGTTACCTAGAAGTGTTTTGTTTTTCTTATACTTGAAATAGCTTTTACAATGTTATTTTGGTGGCTTTCTTTTCTCTCTCCTGGTGGGCGATAGAGAAAGTGAACGACGGGGTTGAAGGAAGTTTGAGGGGAGAAAAGGGAGGATATGGCATTGTCTTTTTTTTTTTTTCTTAAACATAGAGGTTTAATCAAACTCCCATATGTTGAAATTGCTCCTCATATTACTGGTTTTACATGGACACAGAAACTAGGCACTTTAGAGGTGCACTTGCATGGCAGGCTGGGCCCCCCTTTTCTATATTTTATTTTACTTTTTTAGTATAGTGGTACTTAAAATCACTGGTTCACTTAAAAAACAAACAATAAAATGTTAAACTCTACTAATGTACAAATAAGCTGAAAAGTTGCATTTTATGTGTATTTTTTGCCATAGCAGGTACTGTATTTCTCATGCTGGATTTCAAAAAAAAAAAGTCAAAAACAAAAAAAACTAAAGGGTGGTCTTTTATTGGATTGTGACAGGTTGAGTAATAAGGAATTAAGTCGTCGTCATTTCATTAAAACTGAGAGATGATGTAATGCATATATAAGAGTTTTCTGAAGGGTTTTTTTGGGCTTTTAAACAGCTTATTTTTGTTTTTGTTTAGTTTTTTATTTTATTTTATTTTGGAAAGATATGATTGTATTATGTGCAACTCAGTTGCTTACATTATAACTACAAAATATTTTTGGGTTCCTGGAAAAAAAAAAGAAAAAAGACTAATAAATGTGTTTGGCTGCTAAGCATTTATTGTGGTTTCCTGTTTTATTCTGCCAATTTAATTTGCTCATTTGTTGAATGTTTATATTTTTTCTGCTCTTCTTCCTCTCCCTGCTGCACACATAAAAGCTATCTGAAATTCAGCATCTGAACTGGGCCTCAACTTTATCTGCTTTGTCTTGTTATGTTTTTGTTGTCGGGGTTGTCAGGTTGGCCTGATCATGCTGGGTTTTGTGCTCCTTGCTGTCTGCCCGGCTGTTGGGTTCAGATTCTCTGAAAGAAGTTGATAATCTCCTGCTGCCTTTTGTTGTTGTTGTTGTTGTGTTTGGCGGGAGAAAACTGGGGTACGGACAAGAGGGAAGATGCCTGCTGCAGCCCAGAAGAGGACCAGCTCGGCGGGGAGCCACCGGCCGGGCCCCTGCCCTGCTCCGAGGGCTCGCCCAGAGGAGCAGGAGAGCCTTACCCTAAAGGCGAGGTTGCTCCCACCTGAACAGTTCCTTATTTATTGTTAGTTGCTAGAGACTTGTTAAAATGCGATCATGAAATGCCTCGAATGGCACAGGGGAAGAGTGGAAGGGAAACTTCTGTTTTCTAGTTCCCAGGTAACGTGTCTGACTTAATTCTCAGAATGCTGTGTGACACAGACGGATAGCAACAAACCTACTTCCTGAAGAAACTGCAGCTCAGCATAATTTAAGTAGTGGTAGTAACACTGAGTGCTTGCTGTAAGCTGGGCACTGCTCTAAGCATGTTATATAAATGTTCACTCGTTTAATTGAAACTTGTCTCAGTCACCATACTAGGAACCCAGATTGGATTCGAAAGTTATCATGCCAAAATGCCTCTGCTGAAAACCACCTGGAATTCTGAGAAAATGGTCTTAAGCAAGTCTGTTGTGCAAAGTGGTAGGCCATTTACCATACAATTCTTACCATAAGATAAGTAAACATTGGGAAATGAGAGGTGAACTAGATGTCAACACCCTGAGGGCCTGCCTGTATCAAGTAAGTACTGTTTTTTTGAGGACTAGAGGTCATTGCAAAACCTGTGAAGACCTTTATCACCAAAGACTTCATTTTAAATTTGGATATTTTGAAAATGCATAAATGGCTAAAGGTGGGGCCATTATAGACTTGAAGATGGTTGTTGAGACATGAGTGTCTGACTCAGCCTTCCTCACCGCTACATGCCCTGCCATCACCTTAGGTGACTTCAGATCCACTTGGAAAATCCATCCTAATGGCCAGGCTGCTGCACTCCTTCCTTCAGTCAGTCCAGCCACACACTCCCATACTCGCCCAAAATTGCACCCCTCAAGAATCACTTAATTTCAGCATCCTTGACCTTGACCCCCTGTCTTCCCAGCTGGTTCTCCCAGCTGGTTCCCCCTCCTCTTTGGCTTTGTTTTGACCTCACCAGCCATTCCAGGACGCTGGCCTGTCTACTTCCTTCCACTCAGTCAGTCCTCTCCTTTTTCTCACTTCCTCCCTAATCCAGTTTAGATTTTATAGCCCATAATTTTAATAATACAGTTGCTAAAATCCCCACTTTGAAAAACCCTATTTTCTATTTTGCACCAGCCAAAAAAGCATCATTAACTACGGGGCAAATAAGGACTCCTGTGAATCCACTGTAACCAACCAGCAATGAGACCTTGACCCCCAGCAAGCATCCTGTGTGTACCAATACATGGAAAAGATCAGAGGTATCTGGAAGGTGCCCCGAGACTCCTTCCAAATTACAGAGAGATGCTTCCCCCTTAAGTGCTGGTCCCTCCAGTGCTTGAGATCCTTTCCCTTCCTGCCCCCTTGGCTACTTTTAACTCCATTCTCTCTTCAGCTGATCAGCTGGAGTCCTTGCCAGTCCACGTGCTCAAATCCATCCCATGGTCAACACCTTCTGTGGGCCCACATTCTAGTTCCTCCCTTGCCAGCTGCTGTCCCATTTTTCTTCTCAAGAAATTCTCTCCTTCCTGGTTCTCTTCCAGCCTGGTTTCTGCCTCTATCAGCCCCCTGAAAGAGCTGCCTCTAAGGCACTAGCAACCCCCCTAGTCCAGTGGAATGACCACTGCCTCCGGACACCACAGCCCCTAGGTCTCCCTTTATGCTCTAACCTGTCCTTTACCTCCCATGTCGCTTTCATCCTCATACCTGGCTGTGAAATGTTGGATTTCATCAGCTCTCACATCCAGGCCCTCCTTCGTTCTCGCTGTGCTAACACCCTGGACAGTGTCATCCACCTCGCTGGCCGCCTCTCTTACTCTCCTTTTCCCTCTGACTGAGCTCTAATTTTGGCGTGGCCCTGGGCCCCATCCTGAATTTTGTTTTCTAGTCAGGCTTCTCTCCCTAGATGAGTTCACCTGGTCGTGTGGTTTTAAATACAACACATGTCCAAATTACATCTCCAACCCTGGACTTCCTAATCTGTCTATCCAACTGACTAACTGCCTGTCTACTTCTAAATCCACTGGGCAAATCCCTCCACCCTCCTTGTCAAATCTCCTTCTTCCCCGGTCTTTCCCATCTCAGTAAATGGCACCACTGATCACCTGACTGTTCACACCCACAGCTTCTCCACATGGCTTATTTAGTCCATACTAAACATAAACCCTCAAACAGTCCACATCCCTCACATCTCACCACAACTAACTCTTGGGTCCAACCACCTAGAGCACTGTAGCAGCTACCTAGAAGTCTGCCATCTTTCTCTTGACCCCACCCCAGACTCTTCTCTGTTCATGCCTCTACCTTTCAGTGGTTTCTCTTGCAGTTAAAATCCAAACTCCATACCATGGCCCATAAACCCCACACAAATCCCATGTACGGTCGCATTCCCTCTGACCTCCCAGTCGCAGTCTCAGACTAGCCCTGTCAGCTTTCCCTTTTTCTTAATCACAACAATTTCATGCCCACCTTAACGCCGTTATATTTATTTTCCCACTGCCTGGAATGCTCTTTTCCCTGTATCTTTGTGTAGTCTCTGATCAAATGTGAGGTCTTACTTGATTATTCTTTCAAAAAAATAGTTGTCACCACCTCCACCCCCACCCTAAGCTGCTCTGTGCTCTTGTCCTGCTAAAGTTTTTTTTTTAAGCTGAAAGAATTTTATTGTTAGCACTTGTGTATCAGCCACCTAGATCCTGTCATTAACATTTTACTATACTTGTTTTATCATATATTTACCCACCTGTGTATCCATCAGTCACTCCTTTTATGCACTTCAAAGTAAATGCTAACATCAGTGTGCATCCCTCTAAATACTTAAGTAGGAATATCATTTGCTACAGTTCAACATTGGTTTTGTTTTTTCTTTGATATAAGATTTATATTCCATGAAATGTACAAATTTAATTTACATTTGCTGAACTTTTACAAATGCTTGTGTTTAACCCAAACCATTATCAAAATACAGAACGTGACCATCACCCGAGAGGATTCCCTACGCCCTTTCCCAGGCAGCTCTGATTTACCCTCCCGGGCTTTGTCCTACTATATTTTCTTCATAAAACTTATCACTTTCTAAAATTATCTTGTTTAGTCTCTGTTAGCCACCTCCCTCACTGGAATGTAAGCACCAAAAAGGGCAGAATTCTTTTCTGTGTTGTTCACCAGCTCCAAATCCTGAAACCTCCTATG